CCTCTGCTCTAAGCTTCCATTAAGAACCAACATGCCATTGGATCCGCATACTCATCCCTTCCATTACGATAGGACAAAGTCATAGACTCAAACCTTGCGTTATTATCCTCGAGCATTCAGTGGAACTGACATTCTACGATAAATGACAATAACGATGATCAATAATGAGACTCTGATGATGATCACTTATCGCTATGACTTGTACAATGCCACCAAGAATCTTGCTGATAAGCTTGACCACGCAAGTCCCTTGCCTACTCCAGAAAGCTGTTGTCGACCCCAGATTCTGAGCGAGACACGAGTACAATTCGAAAGCGCTCGTGTCAACAAGCGGAAATAACTTCAAGGTGTGTTCAAGACATGTGGGTACTCTGGTCAATGGTTATGCATCCTTTGCATTCCATGTAGTCTCCATTGTTGGGTATGTGTTGTTCATGACACGAAGCGTTCTTTCTCTCGCGCACAGATTACTAGGGGCTGATATTTCGAATAATACTTATTGCGATCAAACTGATGGTCAGCCTTACATCATCCAAAAGCAAGAGAGCTCAAATTTCGACCGAGGAGGAGGAGGATACGGAGAAACCTATAAGGTCATCGTAGCCTATTGAATAAATATGGCTACGGACCGGTGAAGAAGGTTCCCGGGAGGTTCTCTGGATAAGAGAATTTTGCTACATGATGCCTCATCTCCAATACTATCTTAGAAACATAGGGCACGCGAAACCTTCAATCATGACAACTAGAAAAACCGAGAACTTTAGCGGAGAAGATGTATAAGCAATGTGGTCGGATTTCCTTTGCGCAAAAATATGTAACATACCATGCTCAACTCTGCGTTGATACAGCCCTCTTATATATACTGATCACCTTGACAGTAGTAGGGTCAAACATAGAACTTTCTATAGTTTGGTTATGATGCATGTCCTCAGGTTGTACAGCGAGCGGTTATGGCTCAACTGGTTGAATACTATTCCTAGGCGAAATTCGAATTCGAATCTATAGAATGAGCTTTCGAAGTAAAAGGGTCCAAGGTTCTCCTCCGTAGAAGAGGCTTTATGGACCATCTGTATCAATGATATAACCTTGAATCACATTAACATTGGCTCCTATATTAGTTGCCGAGGCTCATCTTCTCATGTGCAAAGATAGAGTGTTGGTCATTAACTGTCTCTCATTCCCTATGTTCTAAACTCGTTCCTGTGCTCCAACATATATATGCTGTGGAGGCCTTAGAGCATAATATGCTCTCAGTTACGACTTTCGAAACCCCCATGATTACCCACCATGCACAGATGAACCATACAGTAATTTGATCTAAAAATCTATTCTTCAATACTGGCAGAATCCATAATTCATTCAACGCCGCTGATGCCATTTCATTTCTGCGAGCTCAGGCTTGCGCAGTTTTTTTTACCAGTATTTATGCTAGGACCTGCTCTGGATACTGGAGGATCTTGAACTAGGCTGACTGTCACCGTACACAACGAATTATAGGAACTCTGGAAGATGATAGACAAGTTCAACAAAGCACTTGATGTCATGATGATTGTAGTGAACCCCACCTTCTGCGAAACCTGCAAGAACGTGTCTATACATTGAGAAGAGAAAGGATTTCAATCATTAAGAGCCTCGGATGTCAGAGAAGACACTCGTTGCTAGCAAAGTCAAATGCCACAAGGTCTGTCATTTAAGTTCCGTCGATTCTTCAGCGAAGACATGATCAAAACTTACTGTCTACAACTCGATCCTGGCTAGATCTTCGGATTATTCTGGGGTGAATATTCAGAAAAGACGTGTCCAACTGTCATGACCTGAATGCTTAAGTATGCATTGTCTTTCTGAATTCCCATAACTGGACACATTCGACAGTGGATCGAGGATGGCCGTTTTCAGGGGCAGAAAACACGAAAGCCACAGCAAAGAGGATTCAATAGTCAGCCCAGAAAGATAATATTAGCACAAACCTATTTTAGCGCCCATTCTTACGGACAAAACCCATGCCAATCTACGGGACATGTGACGAATAAGCTTGATGGAGGGTTTTAATGAACAGTTGGCGTCAGGGACAACACCTTTCTGATTGGCTGTCCGCTTACGATGGGGAAATTGCACCCGCTCTTAGCGGCAATGCCAAGCAAACTAGTACCAAGAAATCAGCAAAACACTTGTTCGTCCAAGTCAACAAACAAACGAGGAAACAACCATGCAGCGTGGGCTCCTTCTTCTTTAGTGTCAACAGATGGACACTAGGACTCTTGGAGAATGCCTATATAGGCTTAGTCTCTCATCTAGCGAACAAAATGACCCACTGACAGGTTGTCTGCCTCAGGAAAGGAAAAGTACCCCTGCGGTCTGGAGTCTGGACCTCTCTGAACACGAAGGCTCTAAGCGCCCTTGCGCCTTGTTCCCCTCGAGCCGGACTGGTCGGCTGTGCTGCTGGCTGCTGACTGCTGACTGCTGGGCTGCTCTCCTCTTCCTTCTCCTGCCTCCCAACTCAAGTCCTTCCCTTCCCTTCAGTCTCTCATTTTTCCTCTCTTGTCACTGTTTTCATTCCCCCATACCAACCCCTCTCTCATTCTTCCTCCTTTCTCAACCCTTTACGTTCTCTCTCTAACCCAAGCAGGTGTCAGCTTCACTCTTTTAGCTGTTCACTTTGCTGTCCGTTCTTTCATCATTGTCGCCGATCAAGTCAGTCTCTACACATCGGCCGATCAACTTACGACACGACCACCAACAACCGACCCGATTCATTCTCTCCTTGAACTTCCGAATACACGCGAATGAGTTTCGTCAATATCGACTGCCAGAAACATTTTCGGAAATAGTGTAAGTGACGAAGATGGAAAGACTCTCTGAGATCGTTGAAATGGTTATTGACGAGAAGCGAAATGGGACAGTACGACTTCATCTTTTGGATTAGATACCTTCACGGACTGAATACTCGAACTCTTTAAAGAACCTGCAAGAATCGGAGTCGAGACCCATCGCTAGGGAACACCTGTCCGTTCAAGCCAGCAAAGATGTTCATCAAGCTTGTGACTCGCAGCGACAGCAGCGACAACAGTGGACTTCCTCCCGCGACGATTGATCTATTGATCTCTCTCTTGGTACTCGTTCTACTCGGCATTGCATTAGTCGCTACCCTTCTTGTTCTGCGACGAAAGCGCCAAAATCGGACGGATCCTGAACTCCCAGTTCATAACGGGCAGTGCTCGCCCAACCATCGTCGTTTCACGATCTCCGCATCTTCGAACACGAGGACACAGTCTATCCTGGTGTACGATGAGAAGCGCAGCTTGATGGAGAACTCGTCAAGCCCTCCACCCAGTCCAGTCCCAGAGATCCGCATCACGTTCCCCGAGGAGGAAGATGAGTCTGGAAAGCGCAAGTCTGGCCGTGTTGTGGTGGTGAGAATTAGTGATGCCGGCGCCGTTGGGTTGGAACCATGCAATGAAGAGCTTCCACCATATCAGTCTAGCGACGCGGAACGTTTCCAATCCTTGGACATCGAACGCATGGGTGGCCTCAAGGAGAAAGAGGATTTGAAAAGATGGTCTTGAACGGCCGACCGCCGACCGTCTTTTAGATGACCTCGGGATCTCTCCTCCGAACTGATACCCAAAACAATCAATTACCTTACCCATTCCATCCTTCGACGACTCCTTAAAATACATGACGATATTCTGGCGAAAATCTGCCCCGTCTTCCTGTTTGCGCCTCTGGACCATTGCCGTTTTGCCTTTGCGTCCTCGACTTGCACATACGCAAAAAATCTGTCGATCCTACCCACTACACCTAGTAATTCTTCAGGTCTTCCGACTATATTGGTGCTCGTGAGGACAATATCATTGACCAGATCGACCTGAAGAGTTACCAGATCGAAGGCTTACCGAAGCTGAATTGTGTATAGCAAAGGGTTGCTGGTTTCTTTCTCTCTCTGCATTGCCATTTTGGGATCTCTTGCTGCCTGGTCTTCTCGCTTCTATTGGCGTTCATCTCTTGTGCCTGGTCACTTGTGGTCCTCTCAGCCCTGCCACGTCACTAGGGTTGAAGGATGTTATGCACGCGGTTTTTCACTTTTTCTTTCTTGGAGCCTCTTTTCTTCCATCTCTTTCCCACAAGTTTTATTTCTACTCTTCTTCTTTTTTCCCCTTCTCTTTTTCTATACTACTTTTATGCTTCTTTCATCCCTTGCAATTCTCGGTTCGCCTTTAGGGTGTCCTACAGCTGGATAATGTATGTAACTAGTCCGCTTATACATTACGTGGCCGCTTTTAGTAGCGTGAGCCTCAATGGATGTTATTACCTGTACAGATAACCTATGAATGATCCATGAATAGTCTGTAGATCAAGTTCACTCATTGATACTCCCTTACTTTGACAGTAAACAAAACTCCAGATAGGGCAATATGGCCCACCCAGGCACATCCACTCCCGGGCAGGGCCTTTTGAATGTTCCGCGCCGATCCGACCAATGATGCCCGGTGCAAAGCTTGCATGAGGGTCGCCGAAAGCGCCGAACTCCCGACGTCACGGGGGGGCAGGAGAATTTTGGAAGGGTCCGAACAATCTGAACTGATCGTTCTGCTGGCCTTCCATTCTTTTTTTCTTTTACTGTCCTCATCATCGTCCAGATCAATTGACAAGTCTCTCATTACCACGGTTTCATTTGTTCTATTTGCGTGTATTTGAGCTGTCATTGTAGCCATGAGCGTGCTTTGAGTTGGCTTCGATGGGAGAGCACACTTGACAGCTCAGATAGGAAAGTTATAGGGTATACCTTCACTTTTTTTTTTTTGTTAATTTTCCCCTCTGTTACTCAGCTCCTGAACTCAGTCCTTACAATATCGATGAAGTTCCTTTGAGTGATCCAATTTACTCGGAGCTTCTCGCATCGGAAGCCACTCCAGCACTTGCAGGCGTCTGCGAATACACTACATTGCGCGACAACAACCCCTCCCACAAAGACGAAAACTACCGACAACCTTACCCATTGGATGAACAAGCTTTCATTCTGCTCTGACTTCCGTGCCCGTGATGGTCTCACCGACAGCCTCTGGGGCCGGCTTGGATCGTCCGAGCTCCAATGGCTCGCGACCTACGGCAGCTTCTTCCCCTGGCACATCGTCGCCGCGGGTTTCCGAACCCAGCGACCTTCGAACAACACGGCCGCAACTGCGGCCGGGAAAGACGACTAAAGCGCCGGCGGACAAGACGAAGGAATTTGAGCGCGCCTTCACAATACAACATTTAGGAATACTGGGTGTGCTCGGGTGGATACTGTAAGCTCTCCCCTTTTTGCTTGGAGGATTTTCGGTCCTCATTGGACGCGCTGGACATCGATGAGCTGACTGGTCAAAATGATCCTAGTCTTTTGCATGTTGCTGGCATATTTTTTTTTACGAAGGGTTTCCTTCTCACTCGGATGGTCTTGGGGAATAAATCGGCTTGTGATGTTCTTCCTTTTGACGATACTACCTTGTCTTCATCAGCGAGTAAAGGGAAGCAAGGATGCTGGCATGAAAAGTCATTTGACAAGGCTATTATGATTATTATAGATGCATTGCGGTACGACTTCACGGTACCTTTTGTACCAGGAACGGAAAGTGAAACAGCGCACCTGTTTCATAACAACATACCGGTCTTGTACGAAACGGCTGTCAAGTCTCCCGAAAACGCTTTCTTGCTTCCATTCATTGCGGACCCGCCAACCACGACATTGCAACGACTGAAGGGATTGACAACAGGCACTCTCCCTACATTCGTGGACGCTGGCTCCAACTTTGCTGGAACGGCAATCGATGAAGATAACCTCGTTGCGCAGCTACACGCGGCTGGCAAGACCTTGGTCCACCTGGGAGATGATACCTGGCATGCTCTTTTCCCGGGCTACTTCGACCCTGATCTTACGCGCCCTTTCGATTCCTTCAATGTGTGGGACTTGCACACTGTTGACAATGGAGTCACTGGTCATCTTTTCCCGCTGTTGCATCCCGAGAACTCGACGAGATGGGATGTCATTTTCGGTCATTACCTCGGCGTCGATCATGCCGGGCACAGATACGGACCAAACCACCCGGCTATGGCCGCAAAACTCCGCGAGATGGATCAAGTAATTCGAGACATCATTGCCGAGCTAGATGACAAGACGCTTCTGGTGGTCATGGGTGATCACGGAATGGATTCCAAGGGCGACCACGGGGGCGAATCAAACGACGAAGTTGAAGCGGCTCTTTGGATGTACTCCAAGAAGGCAATCTTCGGCCGTACGGGTTCCGAGACCGCTAACCCTCCAAGAACCGCACGGGAACGGTTCATTCCCCAGATAGACCTCGTACCGACTCTGTCACTGCTTCTGGGGATGCCAATCCCCTTCAACAACCTAGGTTCTCCGATCGAGGAGGCTTTCATCGGAGTCGGGGGTAGCGGTTGGAAAAATCTTGCCATAGTAAATCGCTTGACCTCTGCACAAATTAGACGGTATCAGCAGGAGTATGCATCCTCGCATGGTGCGGATGATGCTCAGTCACTTGAATCAGGGGAGCTTTGGGAGGCCGCTGAGAGCGCCTGGCAGAAGCTCGCCAGAGCTGGTAAATTGAATGTGGCAGCCCCGCGTTCGGCCTCTGAATTGCATCGCCAGTACCAACGGCACATCTTGCATGTCTGTCGTGGGCTATGGGCGAAGTTCGATGTACCCAGCATGTTGCAGGGCATCGCGATTCTTTCTGCGGCGGTCGTCCTTCTCGTCTTCTATGCGCGAGGTATCAAAACCGCCCGAATCGAACTCACTCAGTCTCTGCTCTCCTCCGTTGGGGTGGGATCCGTATTAGGTGCTGTGGCTGGCGCTTGCCTGTCTTACTCTCGCATGTTGTCTGTTCAAGCAGTGGAGTCTTCTGCTCTGCTGGCTGCCGTAGGGAGCATCATTGGCGCTTCGTGGGCAATTTTCGGCAAACCTGGGCGCATAGTTCTGCCTCTCCCCAATAGTCTATGGGGATGGCTCGCAATTGTCTTCACAGTGTCCCAATCGATAGGCTTTGCATCGAACTCGTACACAATATGGGAGGATGAAATTCTCCTGTTCTTCCTTTCGACTTTTGGAGTCGTTGCGGGTGCATCGTCGATGCGGCAGAAGTCAACCGCTGACCGGGTGCTTGGAGTCTATCATTCAATCTTATTTGTGATTCTGGGAAGAATTGCGTCCTTCTCTCGTCTGTGCCGCGAAGAGCAGATGCCATTCTGCCGCTCCACCTATTATGCTTCGACAACATCCTCTACGTCTGCTCCGTGGCAACTTGTCATTCCCTTTCTCGTGACCCTCATCCTTCCGGCAGTTGTCCGGTCTTTCTATGCTGGCTCCAAATCCTATGAAGGAGCAGCGACCTTGTGGATTGGCTTTGCGTTCCGGTTCGGTCTCTTTGTAGCTTCGATTTTCTGGATGCTCGAGGCTGCCGACGACGGTGAATGGGGCCTATTGAGCAAAGAGACCCTGAAGACCATACGCGTATTCCTCGCTCAGATCGTCCTTGCCCTTGCATTCGCCGCGGGAACAACCGCCTTCATTTACACTAAACCGTGCGTCAGCATAAGCGTCAGCCAAGGCGGTGCTGAATCCGAGAGTAGAGATAAACCTACCGCACAACAACCGGCCAGAAGAACCGTTACTATTTTGGGATTCGGAAATGTTTATGGCACACGGGCTTTCCTTCTCGTCATTAATTTCTGCCTGGCTATCATTCTCATGCAGAAACCTATGGGCCAAGGGGCAATGGGCCTGCTGCTTTGGCAGATCCTCTCCCTTCTTGAGATCCTTGACACGAATGGTCTTATTATGGGCAACTCAGCCATCGGGCCTATCGTCCTGGGTCTTCTTGGATCGTTCCACTTCTTCAAGACCGGACACCAGGCCACCCTCAGCAGTATCCAGTGGGAATCTGCGTTCATCCCCTTATCTTCCGTTCAATATCCTTGGTCGCCCATTCTGGTGATCCTCAACACCTTCGGCGCGCAGATCCTCACTGCAATTGCTGTTCCTCTCACGGTGCTGTGGAAACGACCCCTCCAGCTCCACGAAAGCACCTCGTCCACCAAATCCCGCACCCCCACCTCCAGGATTCTGTCCGACGTCGCGCAAGCGGCCTGCACATATGTTCTTTACTTTGCAACGATCAACCTCGCAACCACGATGTGGGCCGGCCACCTGCGCCGCCACCTCATGCTCTTCCGAATCTTCAACCCTCGATTCATGCTGGGGGCTGCCGTCCTTGGTGTTGTGGATATTGTATTAATCCTATTCTCTGTGGCTGGCGTACGGTTCAGCGTACTGAGTGTGGCTGAAATATTTGGCTGGTAGTGGTTGGAGTGAGGCCTCCTGTGTTTGCCGGACGTTATCTTGCCATCGGCATTGGATCGCGAACAGTATAAGGGGCGATACGCTTTCTTATATTCATTATACTCATACAAACATCATACACAGATGTAAAATACTAGCATAGTCCATCAAAACAATGAAAATAGAAGCTGATAGCACTACGACAAGAGCCCAGTCGGTATTTACCCTACTTTATTTACCCTACTCGCTGCTTAGCGCAAGAACACCACCCAAAAGCAGCCTAGCGTCAAGTCCATCCAGGAAAAAATAAGGTTTCTTACATAATGAGAGCATGCAGCGGAGCGGAAAATACCTCGTCCGCGGAAGTTTCTCTGGTCTAGCGGCAACTTTATTTGCAGAACACGCAGGATGATTCGCCAATTGGCAGATTTAAACTCTTCGCACTTCGCAGGTCTCGATTCTCGGCCGGTGTGCTTTTTTTCTTTCTTATGCCAGGGGTGCGTCCATTGTTACTAACAGTAGATAGCTAGATCGAAGTCGAAGCTTCTGATCCTCGTCGGGTAATGCACAGCATGTAAAGAATGAGTACTGATATCGGCTCCGTGGATGGAGGTTGGAGGAAAGAAAGGTCTCGTAGGTTGTTACAGCAGGGACGGATCGTGGGTGGCGACGAAATGGATTTCTGTTTTCTGGCATTTTGCAGTCGGCGCTATTTACCAAATTATCAAGGATACCTAACTACTGTAGTATCTAGTACCTACCCATATGGCATGAATCTGGGGCATGAGTATGACAGGCTGACGCGCTGACAGCAGGCTCTGCCGGGTCCACCCAGACCCTGAAACTGCGCATTCTGGTCGGCGTTTGAGTCGCTGCAAGCCTGCAGGACTGTCAATATCGCCGCTTGAACAATGGCATTTTCCGCCTGGACTTGTATCCTTGGTCTGTACTCAAAGTCAAAGCTGAGAGAAATTGCCGTGGCTATCAACGCCAGCCAATAATGCGGACCAAACAAGTGAGTGGATGTGGAAAAGTTTACTGTAAGGATTACCCGCCCAACACGAGAGTTGGAAACTTAGGGTTCTGGAGCCGATATGCGCACGGAGCTCTCGCCGTTGACGCAAGAAGCTTTGCTAGACCCAGCGACTAGATTGCTGGATTCAGCAGGGTGCCTTGAGTGGCCCCTGGACTAGAACGCCCGTTGAATGAGATTGCCTGGGAAGTTCGAATTGTAGGAGCTGGCTCTTGATCTCGATAGGGTGGTTTCGTCGTTTTCTTCGTTGCCAGTGGGGCAGGGCCAGGGGTTTTTGCGACGGCTATATTTGACGAAGGTTGTTTTTCGGCTGTCTTTCGCTCTTGTTTCCTCTCTTCCTTCTCTTCTTTGACGGTACCATTCTCTGTCTCTTACATGGGCGACAATGCAGAAACGTTCTTGACTGTTCTGGATAGGGTGCCTTCGTGATCTGGTGCAGGACGTTGGGTAGCCGGTTTGGCTTCAGTAGCATCACGTCTAGGATATTCCAAGTCTCACAGTCTCACAGTCTCGAAGCAAGATGACTGCTTCAAACCAACAAGGAACGGGACTGGTGGTCCTTATATGGGTTCTGACAGGCATCGCGGTGGTCGTGGTCGCTTTGCGCGTCCTGGCCAAGGTGAAGATTCGCCAATTCAGGATGGATGATGTTGTGATGATCTTTGCGCTGGTATGTGCTGTCTTGTGTGCTCTTGACAGAAAAATAGATTCTGACTGTACGAATGCCTGCTTCTAGATCCTGGGTATCATTGCCGGGTCCTTTAACACCATTGGGGTCAAGTATGGATATGGCCGGCCGGATGCAACCGTCCCCGAACCTGATGCGATGCTGGCTCGAAAATTCTACATCATAGGACAGGGATTTCTTATCGGCTGTACAGCCATGGGGCGCGCCGCCTTTGTGTTATACCTCTTGGCCATCCTGGGAGGCCAGAAATGGCAGCGCATCATCCTAACGGCCCTCGCTGTGATGGAGGTTATCTTCAATTTTGTCGCCATCATCTTGATCTTCGCTTCTTGCTCGCCCGTGTCGATGCTTTGGGATTATACCGTTGTCGGAACATGTCAGCCGGACTCCATTCAGGTCGACTGGGGCTATTTCCAGAGCGGTATGTGGCTATGGGCGCTTCAATGTTTTCAGAGAACTGACACGGATGCCTCTTGACAGTATTCAACACCTTCGTCGACCTTTACCTGGCCGTGGTTCCCACCTATATCTTCTGGCACCTCAAACTCAAAGTAGCAATCAAACTGAGTTTGATTGCACTCATGAGCTGTGGCCTGGTGTAAGTCTGCTCTGCTCGTGGCCATCATCTTATCTTCTTCTCCCTGCTAATAACGTCATTCATAGTGCCATGGCGGCCGCGCTCGCCAAAACCATCCAGCTCCCCGAAATCAACAACGAAACCTTAGGCGGCACTATAAACCTCATCCGCTGGGGATATCTGGAAGCGAACCTGGTGATTATCACCGCGTCTCTACCGTGTCTTCGCTCCCTCATTCTTTCTGGGTTTCATTATATGACCAGTAGCGGACAGCGGTCACGCTCGTATGAGCTGGGTGCAGCATTCACGGGGACCCGAGCGGCGACGACCTCAGTCACAGCGCACAATACTTCGCATCGAAAGACCGACTCGCGTTTGCGCGGTATGCTTTCTAACAGGAACAATGGCGATGACGGGGCGAGCATCGACCACATACTCGGTAGTCGCAATAGTTTTGATGGAATTGAGACGAGTGGAAGTAGTCAGGACTTGGGAACTGGGTCGGTTGGCATTCGAAAGCAGGTGGAAGTGACTGTGGTTGCGCATGATCAACCGCACGATGATAGGGGGGGCGTATAGGCGATTAATATATACTGCTTGTAGAATAGATATAGATTAGTGACGTGCATTAAGAACCGAGAACTTACCTTTGCCTCTGCATGTATTTGTCACAATGATATTGTCAGTCGAGTCATGGCCGTGTCTGCCCGGTGGTTGCCCTGAACTGATTACGTTCGTCCAAGACTCATCTACCTTACTTCTTGACAGTCCAAAGACTAGTCCACAGAGCTTCCAGCCGTAAAGGAGGGAAGCGGCGCAACAGGGGAGGATATGACTGTTTCGCCCTCCTCAAATAGGCTATATCATACCTTCAACATAATTAAGATATTTACCAATGACATGATTAACTGCGGTAGTAATATGAAGAAGAGAATTCCAATGTTTCTTAGAAAGCTTGATGTAAGCTTCGTGTATACAAGTACAATTGCAATATATATTCCATCATCATCATCATCTAAAAATTCATCACATGGCAAATAATTGCAGGCATGCACCAATAATATAAAGACACCGTCATACGCACAGTAAATCCTCAGGAACCCCTAATCTAGTCTGAAAGCCTATAGACTAGGGCTGAAGACCTTTCTGAAGCGAAAGTGAGACAGGTCGCGCATAATCTCAACGGTGCTCTTGACGTTCTGCTTGACAATAACGGAGGTAGGCTTGGAGAAAAGCTCGTCGATCTCCTCAAGAGACTTGTTCTTGGTCTCAGGCATGAAGAGGATCTGGTAGAACCAACCCAAGACCGCAATACCTCCGTAGAAACCGAGAGTGAGTCCGATACGAGTCATCGAGTTCATCATCGAGGTAAAGTTGTAGGTGACGATGAAGGAGCACAGGAAGAGATTTGCGTCCGCAGTGGTCATGCCGTAACTGCGGAGATAAGTGGGGAAGACCTCAGAGGGAATGACCCACGTCAAGCAGGCATAGGAGCCGAAGAAACCCATGTAGAGGATGATACCGGTCAAATAGAGACCCTCTGCCGTGGCAGGATAGGTTTCGTAATCGATGGTGTACCCAACTCCCACGAACACAAGACCGATGAAGAAACCAGGAAGCATAACGTTGGCCCAGTAGCGTCGGCCGAACCTCTCCATGTACAGCACAGCAGGAATAGTACCGATCAAGAGAGATCCGCCTCCAACGAGCGACATATAGACACTCGTACGGTCGTCGAAGCCGATCTTCGTCATCAGAACGCCCATGTAATACATAACTGCATTCACACCCGTGAATTGACCGAGGAATACCATGATGTTGGCATAGATCATGGCGCGGCGAGCGCGGCCGTCGGTGAAGAAGTCGAGCCAGGCCCACTTCTTGGTGTTGGCTTGTTCGTCGTTCTCGGCGGCGACAGCTTGGCGCATGCCCAGGAATTCCTCCTTGGACTCGTAAGCCTCGAAGCCACGAATGCGCTTCCACACACCATACGCCTCGACAGCTCTTCCCTTGTGCATCAGGTAACGGGGACTCTCGGGCATGAACAGCATGCCAACCAGAAGGATGGTCGAGAAGACCAGGGAAGAGCCGAGAATGTAGCGCCAGTCGCCGGCGACACCGAAGAACATCGCGGCCACCGCATAGCCGAGGACTTCGCCAAGAGCAATGTTCAATTGATACAAAGAGACCAAGTTACCACGGATCTTACTGGGGACTAGAAACCAATTGTCAGCGACCGTCCTCGCCGCAGGATTAAAGCGAGAAAGAAGGGAGCATACCAGATTCGGCGACGTAGACAGGGACAGTACCACCCTCAAGACCGACTCCCATGCCAAGAACGAAACGGCCGGCAAACATCATGCCAAAGTTAATGGCACCGGCTTCGAGTCCAGCACCGATAGTGTAAAGAATGCAGGAGACAATGATGGCCATGCGTCGACCAAGGTACTCATTGGAAGGACCAAGGATCAGGGCACCGCCGACGGCACCGAGGGGCATACCGGCGTTAACCAAACTAGCTTGCGAGGAGGACAGATGCAAAGCATCGGGCATGGTAAGGTTGGCACCGCTGATCAACGACTGATCCAAACCAGAGAGTAGACCACCCATAGATGCGAAAGCAACCAGAACGTAAGTGAAGAGAGCTGGGTTGGAGAAAGAGAGCTCAAAACGAGGCTTCTTGAGGCCACCGAGCTGTTCTTCCAGCAGCTGGAGCTCAGCATCCATGGCAGCTTCGTTAAAAGCCTCGGACTTGGGATCATTTCGAATATCATCCATCTCTACGGCGACCTCCTTGTGGTCGTCGAGAGGAACCTCGACATCTTTGGCCGTCATGACGGGCAAAGGAGGAGAATGATTATCAAAGAGGTAGTGTATTGAGAGGTAGTCAGGCAAGGCAGGGCAACCAGAGGTAGAGGCAGGTATTCGTACACTAGACCTTCACCTATAGAAAGTTTGACCTAAAGTAGAAAGAGAAGAGGGGAGGACCTGCCGTTCCCAACAAAGACGCAGTCTTCTATATAGGAAGAGGAGAACCGCCTGCTGTAGAAAGGACGTCTGAGAGAAGAATAATTGACAACAAGGAAAATGGGAAGAAACCCGGGGGATATTTATACGGGCACGGCATCCCGGGGTATAGTTCCAGGTCGCGGAGTGACGGTCATCACGGTACTCCGTACAGGGAAGGAAATTCGCGGGACAAGACTTGAATGGAGAAGTGGGGACAGAAAGAAAACCAGAGAAGAAAGAGGCAGCGTAACCAATGGAAAAAGTGACAGGCTTACAACAGCAAGCAGCATTCTGGAACGGTGGGGAGGAATGGCCGAAGCTTAAGGAATGATGATCACAGCCAATAACCACGGTGCTCATCTTCGAGGGACTTTGGGTGAGTCTTCCCCCTCCTATCGATCATTCTCGATTCAAACGGACGCATAAAACTCAAACTCGATGAATGCACTCAATGAGCACTATCTACATACTTTGGTAATAGTGCAAAGTATGCGGAGGCTTGAAGCAGCGAAGGTTTGGGGAACAAGGCAAATCCCCGTGGAGGCGAAGAGTCTGTTGGTGTGGAGGTCTGGAGAAAAGAAGGGGACGAGACTAGAAAACTAGAATCATGTAGTGCAACCCCGGGCACACGATGGAGGGGAAGAGACTCACGCATAACCAGTCAGAGCAAGATCTTGTCTTCCTCGTCGCTTCTGTGCCTCCCACTCCTTCACTGAACGACGCAACCATCCCGAAATCTCGGCGACACTTCGGTGGATTTCCATCCAATCATCGGGATGTGCTCGTTGTTTGCATCATAGTCCGTGTTCGAAACTCCGAGTTGGTGCCAAGTTAGCTAATGGGAATGAGGCATTTAATGCTGTTCGATCCCGAAGTCTCCAATTGATGAATCAATCCTCCGGTCAACTACCGGGATGCTAACTGCTCACTGGACGCCACTGACGGACAGAACCCGAGATGCACCAGCCTAGAAAGTCATTTCTTGCCCTCGAACTGCACCCGAGACTCCCATTCGCCGCGGTGGGTTCAAGATTCAGTGCCAAAAGGCTTGGTGTGTGTTCCTCTGTGGTTTGACCCCCACAAAAAAGTCGCCAGGCGGTCAGACCATGGGAGGAACAACCAAGGAACAATTATTAGGAACAATAATTCAGGCCGTGGGGAACGGGGAAAGTCACGTGTCTATCAGGCACACCAGACAGTCTGTACGAAAGAGTCGATGAACCTCCAAAGTATTTCACAAATAGACATCAGAATAGTAGGATCGATCCGGAGAGAAGTAATATTTCAATGGTGTTAAAGAAATAATTACAAAAAAAACAAGCAAAATGGCCTGAACGCTGTGTAGAGACTTCTGCACAATACAGATCTCAGAGAGGCACCATCCAGCGATGTCTATCTCGAGCTTTGAGTCAAATTAGTAGTAATATTAATAAATAACAACCTCATTTGGTGACCATTCCCTCTTAACGCCGTCCCGGAGGCATTCCCACCGGCTTTCGCACACTCGGATCTGCCCCTCCCCCGTAATACGGTGACCCCGGCCGACTGCCGCCCGGAGGAGTCTGGGCCGGACTAGGCGACCGCCCCCCATGCAATCGCGCTCGAAGTCTCTCCTGTGCAGACGCAGCACGCTCAAGAGAGGCCTGGCCTGATGCAATTGTCTGATACGATCCCGCTCGCTGACTGGGGAGAGGTCGTGCCCCGGACGGATGCGCGGTCGGTGGCGTGGGTGATCCCGAGGGAGGTGTCACCACTGTACCAGAGGGAGCGCTGTGCACCGTCGATAGCGGGGCGCCTGCGCTCCCGGGTGTCAGACGTCCTCGTCGCAGACTGGCCGTTTGTGATGCTGGCGGTTGTTGAGAAGCTCCCGAGTCTCCCCACAGATCGCTCAGGCCACCACCGCGTCCTGGGGCTGCGGTTGTGATGGCTGAACCGTGTCCATAGGCGCTTGGCTGGATCTGAGTGGTTGCGATGGTTCGGGAGGGTGCGGGGGCTGGAGCTTTAGGGTCCGGAGGAAGCCATGATGGGAAGGGCCGGCCTTTCTCTGTGTAGTAGGCACGCAGGACATTGGAGATGTGAGAGCAGTCTTCGTTTTCTGGGTCGTCGGCCTCGTCTCCGGAAGTGATGGCACGGCGGAGGGAGTTGAGCCGCGTGCTGATGTTGGAGATCGCTGACGACGAGGTAATCGAGGAGAAATAGGAGGTCATTCTGAAGGGTTTGATTCGCCGCGAGGAATATGTGCAGAAGTTAAACCGGCATGCGAAGGAAGGTCCAAACGACAGGTGGCGGAGCCAGAATCGATGCGGAGTGAGCGGATGGGGAATTAAGCTCAATGTGCAGGTCCAGGGTGAAGGGATCTTGTGAACTTATAATAATCGACGGCACATCTAAGCCTTGAAGTCAATAAAGCCCAGAGATAGAGCAACCGTGGTCGATCGTTCTTGGGATCAAATCACCGTGTCTCTACGTAGTGGCGTGTCTCAAACGGCGGATCCAGTTATCGCCGCACGTGAGTCCCCTGGCCGTGGAGAAATTATCCACACTGGCAGATATTCCGACAAAGACAAAACTGGCTATATTTCGATATCCTTCTAGGCTCTGTACATATTATAGAACAAAATGATATTCTCTTGAAGCTTCAAAATCAGTCGTTAAACACGTAGATGCAATGACTGGGTATGACAAGCCCCGATCGCAGAAGGGAGTAAGTTGTAAGAAAAGAACCAAAACGCCGTGCACGTAGCTGAAACAGAATACTTTTCTTCTATATCCTTCAATGCCCCGACAAGCATAACTCCACCTAAGCCAGGATGCTCTCCTTGCCCGCTCCTTCGGTTTCGTATTCGATCTCGACCCGAGGACCCTTCTTCCGGGGCTTCGCTTGTGGTGCAGCACGCTTTCTCTTGGCCCCAGGCTTGGGCTTCTTGGCCTCCTCATCGCTGGACTCGTCTTCTGCGTCGCTGCCCTCGTCACTGTCCTCATCATCCTCATCATCATCATCGTAATCACTGGAGTCGGCCGAGTCTCCACCCAACCAGTCCTCGATATCCTCGAGATCTTCATCCTCCTCAAGATCACTGACATACTCCACCTCACCAACGCCCTCTTCCTCTTCATCCTCAATCTCTTCACCGTCATCGAGATCCTCGTCCCGCTCACCCTCACCACTGCGCTCCAGACCCCGGAGGACCTTCTTCCAGATCCCCTCCTCGACGTTAAGCGGCCGGTCACCGTACGCGCCGCTCCGCAAACGCTCAATAAGCTCACGCTCAATCGCCCGCTCAACCTTCGCAGCAGACTCAGCCTTGCGCTCCCTCGTCTCCTCCCTCCGCCGGATCTTCGGCGCCAGCTTCGGCACAATCTTCTCCCCCAGCCGCTCTTCCTCCTTCGCGATCTTCCGCATCCGAATAGCCACCTGCGTCAGCCGCGTGAGACGCTGCTTGCACTTATGAATAAGAAACTTGGGCCAGTAGATCAGTCGCTCGTCGAGCTGCTCGAGCGCCTTGGCGTAGTTGGACGATAATCTGATGCGCTCCCAGAGCTTGCTGGGCATGTGGGCTCGTTCGATCGTCTTCATGTACAGGTACATGACGCCCGTCTCGGGATCCGACCGCACGGTAGCGTACCGGGAGTTGGCCAGCGGGCAGGACTGGCGATTGCAGAGACCGCTGACATTATATTCATTGCGGCAGAAGTTCTGGCCTTTGGTTGTCCTAGATTGCGTGGTGTTAGTACATGCAATATATTTCATCGCTGATTCTTTGTTTTTCGCGGGCGGCGAACTGGAGTTAGCACTCGCTGGATTCACTCACTTGAGCTTGTAGGAGCAGAATTGCTGGTTGATAACCTGCCAGACAATCTCGTCGGAAGACATGATGTTCGATTTCGGCTGGTATGTGCACCGGATTTGGCCCAGTCCAGCCTGTTTAGAGGTAGAATGGTTTTTTGTTGGACCAGAGCAACCCGAGAGTTGATTTTCTCCGCAGAGAAAAAAAAAGTTGCGGCAGCAATTGGTCACGTGGTCTGCGCTTATCGATTGCCAGCTTATCGTTATCAACTCTAATCTTCACAATTTCTACATCAACTTGAGCCATACTCTTGTGTGTCAGCAGGGTATATGCGTTGCATTCATGGCGGCCGTGTCAAATAAAAAGTAGCGGCAATATGTTTCCTCAACGCCAAAAGGTATTTACATCACCATCCTTCCATCTGTAACGGGCCACCATCCCATTCCGTCCCATTCATCATGGCCCCGTTGGCAGCCATTTCCGCCTCCTCATTCATCATTTCCTCAACAGCAAACCCCCAACCCATAGCTTCCAACTCGCGTACAAAGAAGTCCCGCTCTTCTTCCATCAAGGACGCACCTTCTTCGCCGCCCATCACGTCCTTGTATCGACGTAGATGCCACCAGTGTGTCAGCCCTCTGAGGGCTTGTTCCAGTGGCAGTGCCTCCTCCACTTCTGCGTCGATATCCGACCCAGCCAGCCAGTCGTCCCGTAGCTCCGGGCGACAGTATAGATAAATCGCAGTGATGACACGCATGTTGCTCTGGCGCCACTTGCGGCCACAGTAGGGCACCTGAGATTTGAACAACTTCAGGGTGTAGAATCGCAGGTGGGGATCGGGAATCTTGAGTCCCTTTCGTAAGATCGTGCTGGACTTGTACTGAACAAGTAGCAGGCACCTGTGTGCCTTGTCCCGCGTAATCTTCTGCATGATGTGAAGGTAATTGATGGCAGAGAAGAAGTTCCGAAATGAGAACACTGTGATTGGCTCTTTTGGCGGAGGCGCAGTCGGAAACCCAAGCTCGTCAACTTCAGGGCGATGCTGGCCTTCTACGAGCTCAGGGAGAGCTTCCTGGGGAGATGGGCCTCGTACTGAGGAGGTATCAGGATTCGTGTCAGGGCGGTGCCGAAGAATAGGCGGGGGCACAGCTTCATCTTCACTCGGTGATGAGTCCTCGTCTGAGTTATCGGCTGAATTCGGCGGTTGATCAGAATGAACATGACAAAAGTGAAAGAAACTGCTCAGAGTTAGTAACCCCATCGTGATCAGTGTTTGACGAGCTCGTACCCTAGTTCTTCACGGTCGTTCTTCTGTGCTATCGCCTGGTCGATGTCTTGATGCGCGAACATCTTCAGAATCAAGGGTAAATAGTTCGAATCGAGCAAAAGCTGCGTCATATACTCGAACTTTAATATATCTACAGCCTGTTAGGAAACATCTGACATAGGCCGCGAAATCGTAACTTACGAGATCTCTTGAACCACTTCAACATGAGCAACAAAGATCCCGATATAGCCTTCCCTGTAATCTCTCGCAGGCGGATGTTGTCAAGCTCATCAATGGCAGCATCGGCATTAAAACTATCCGAGAAGCTATTGAGTGCAGCTGGAAACCCATTGCCGGCCCCATGGTTATCACTAACCATCAAGTCAGCTATTTCTTATCCTTCCTGTTTTTGCCGATAGGCTGTCCGCTACGTACCTCATGGCATGCCCATTCTGACCATTCGCTTGACTGACCATGGCACTGACATTGGTCAAAATGATCTTCAGGAAGACAATTGTGATCGACTGTAGGTGGACCAATACCTGGGACTATCGAGGTGTGAGCATGTCCATCATATTAAAGAGGGGGGAATGCGTACGTAGAACGATTCGACAGCATCTAAGCGGCGCTGTATGTCATCATTATCGGTCTCCCTTTGTGGAACCCAACTGTGACTCGATTCCCTTCTCTCCTCTAAAGCCAGGTCTTGCAAGCCCTGAGCAAGTTCACCAGAGGCGTCATCGTCTGAGCCAGCTGGGTTCTCGTCAAGATACCAACCGCGGTCATATTTCATGAACCGCTCTCGTTCTTCCCACAGTTGGCGCATCGCTCTAGTCATCTTCACATGAGTCGAGAAGAGCTTTCCGGCTTCTATGATTGATGCTGGTACATCGCTTCCTTCCCATTTCTTTCCCACAAGTGCATCTTGGATTTCAGCCGTGCCTTTTCCGCCGATATCGTTGCTTGAATCATCCAAAGGGGGATACATAAAAGGAAAGTTCTGGTTCGTCTGGTAATTCTGCTTCTTGCCTGCTTTGCCACCGGGTCCTATAGGTGACGGTGGAGGAGATGGAGCTGGTGTAGCAATGTGGACAGACTGGTGGAGGATAGAGCCGTTTCCACCAGCCACAGAGGGACCTACTCCGGAAAAGAGGCCGGTAGATGAACTGCTGCGGCTTGGATGCTGAGGAAGAGGAGGGAGAATAGAGTTATTTTCCAACTCCAGAGGAACAACTGGTAGCGGGGGGTTGTAAGCAGGGTATTTTGATGTGATCTCTTGCCGGAACAGGTGGTAATCCAGAGGGGAAGCAGTCAGAAATGGTGTCCTCCGGTTGGGAGAGTTCTCTCGTGCCTCCATTCGCGGCTCCAACTCTTCCTTGGCTTTCTTCAAGCTCTCGCTTCCCCCAAAGAAGAGGAGAAGAGACTTCCAAAGCAGGAGGATGATCCGCGTGAGCGGAATGTTTGCTGAATCATCCCACCGCAGTCGTGCGATGGCCTCGACAAGAAAAGCTGGTAGGTTAGGCTTCAAGCCCATAAGCGCATCGCGCAAGGGGGCATTTTGAGGATCATGTTTCTCTTGTCTTCGGCCAATCTCTACGACTATGTACAATGCGGTAAGCACAAGGTTCACTTCGTGCTCTGACGCAGCGACATATGCGGAATCAGAGTTCGAGTCCAGACCGTCCAACTCGGGATTCGGTGAGCTCCGATTCTTCTCAAGAGCTTTGCAGAGACAATTGAGCAATGGGCCGAGCCCTGAACATTCATTGACAAGCTCAGCATTTGTCTGCATCCATATGATTTGCAGTGATTTGGATTTGGGGGTATCCGTGACCGTCTGGGGGGGCAGATCTTCAGGGTAGTCAGGGACTGCTTTTCCAGCAGTACTACCCCAGATACCAGTCAATGCATAGCAAATAACCTCTAGCGCTTCGTTACGAGCGGAAATGTCTCGATCCTGTAGCCCATTGATTATCTGTTCCATGAAAGATTTGCGTAAGTTATGAGAGGCATCAAGCCAAGGCAGCCGATTGGGAACCGCAGACTGCTTCTCACAGAAAGAAGCCCATTCCCGTTCAAACGTAGACTTCATGCCAAGGAGCATGATTCGATCAAACTCGCTGTACTGGAACCATTCTTCAATTTCTTCCGCAAGAGGCTGAGAGTCAGCGTATTCAAACGCATACGCAGGCTGATCGACCTTGGGCATATCCTGGACTATTTGCCTCAATTGAGCCAGACTCATTGAGTCCGGCGGTCTGTCTGGGAGTTGCTGCACCGGGGCAGGAGGCGGAGGCTGTAAAGGAGGCGGAGGAGCTGATATGTCCCGACGCAGTTCCGGACGCCTCGCTGTTTTGGGCTTTTGCTCTTGCAACCCATTTTGGTCAGAAGACGTCGCTTTTGAAGCTTGTTCCTGTCGCAAGCCTTCCGCGACCTCTTCCATCAACTGATCATCTGACACAGTTGCAATATCAGTTCCAGTTTGATCGACCTCGTCGGCCCTGACAATATGATGTTCCTGCATTGTGGGTTTAGAAGACGCAATAGAATCATCGATTATTGGGCTCTAAAAGTGGTCTCAATGCTTCGAGAAGGTAGCTTAGGACAGAGACGGAAAATGTTCCGGTAAAGCAGTATCATGGGTATCTCCAAGCAAACTGAAGTCAAAAGATAAGGGGCAGGGGAAGGGATAAGGACAGAAGCCTAAGACTTCCACTAAGGAAAATGTCGGGGAAAAATCAAAAGGTCAAGCATTATTGTCATCAGTCTTCAAGATTCATCCTGCGGAATTCCACCTTTGGACATAGCGACGAAGCGGTTGTGAAAACGCTTATGGGCGGTGGACTGTCCACGCGCACCCACAGCTGGACGTGTCACGTGACCGTATACTCTCTCAAAGACTGCGCGGGATTTCGAACCAGGACATGGCTTGAGTCGGATTGAGAGACTCTGTTCATAGATGCTAAATTGACTGCAAGGACTTTACTGCTCGCGAAGGACTGACTGTCCACGAGCACGCAACCGCATGGTGATGCGGACAGGGCAAAAGCAGGAATGTTACTGACATGGAAAGTATATCTCCGTCAATTCTAAGTTTCTTGGAGCTCACTCAGTGCTTAAGATAAAATTGATTCATATACTATTTCAGCAAGAACGCTGAAAGCCAGAGGGTATCACAAAGAAAACCCATACGGGGACGACCCATCTGCCATAAAAGTATGTCCTTATTGTCGCCAATTTTCAATCAGATTTGGCCGACCGATGATCACTGTGACCTCGCCGCTTCAACTTTCGCTGCGTTTCCCATTGCTGCCATCCGGCTTCTGCGAGATCTTGACTTACCACTAAGTCTCGAAGTCTCAAGAGTTGAGATATTCCCAGATCCAATACCCAATCAATATAACACTTCGTCCGTAAAAAGCTCGTAATCATATACCAGGATATTGCGCACAAAACGCCAGCAGCGCATCCTGCTAGCACCTGTTTTGGCGTATGATAGTTCAAATAGATGCGGCTGGTGGCCACCGCGCCGGCCCCGAGACACACTCCGGCAGCCAGCACTACCCGCATGAGAAAATAGGACGTCGCGCCAGGCTTTGGGATGGTTGGAACATGCCGGACGAGAAGGAACAGGGCCAGGTAGACAGCGAAATATGCGACGAATTGGGCATGAGACGACGGCATACCGTAGCCTTTTCCGAGCATTTCTGAATAAGGTCAGTTTTCAGCATAAGTCACCGTGTATATTTTTCTGCTTGTATCACGTACGCTTCGGTCTTTCTTCTTTGATAATTCGCTTGAGGCCAAAATTGAACACCTCACAACCCATTTGCCCAGCAAACATCAAAACTACCTCTACTTCTCTCGAAGCCCAAATAAGGGTCACGTAAGCCACACATAGTGCTTGGGGTACAAGGGCGAGCCAGGCAGAAAGGAAGGATAGCGGGTCCTCAGGATTCTATGAACATAGAGTATGGGAGTCAGTATCTAAGGCCTGCTCGAGGTTGCCGGTCGTGAATGAGTCCCCCCGGAATAAAGACTCACATAATGCACGTGGGTTAACGACAGCGATGCCAGCGGTGTTTCTTCCATATTGTCTCGCCAGGATTACAGGATAGATATTCAGCTTGAGTATCTATTTGGACAGATGGTAAAAGCACCAGCACCCCTTAACGCTGGTGATAACTGATGGGAGTCTCGAACGATGATCGTCAACCGGTATACATCATGAGGAGAATGTGCAATGCGATATGTATCACAAATCCCGCTGGCACGTGGAATGAACAGCGCAATTTATGCTTAGATCATTGGTTTAAGCAAGAACTGTATTCCGTAGCTAGCTCAATAATGATGCTGGTCGAGGTTCATACTCGGTGGGTCAGATAAAGAGCGGATAACTGTGGCCGTGCATGGACGCTGCTTTAACCACTTATCACATGAATAAGATCAAAAGCAGCACCGGGAATGAGGGGGAGGGGAAATAAATCCATCTGATAGTAAACGGAAGGGCAGTATTAGTCGAATAATAACAGCCAGGAGATATGTATCAGAAATTAAATTTAGAGAAAAGAAGAGAAAGGTAAAAGTAAGTAAATCAGTATTACTAGTGATCACTCAAGTAAATCATGAGAACCATGAACCTGCACCGAAGTAAGAGCAGTGCCTGGGCAGCAACAAAACAACCTAACACCACCGGTTTGCTGCCCATTTCAGTCGCTTATTATTTGATCAAGTCCTATCCATCCATGACTCACTCATTCTTCTGGTTCCTTTTCTCCTGTTCTCCTTTTGCTTCTTCGGAGCTCCTCCGCTTTCTCAGGTACACGATCAATCTCCATCTCGCGTTATTCGGCTTCTTATCTCTATAATCGAATCATGACGCACTTTTCCCCACGTTATCATCTCGAAATTTTGTTCTCTCACTCATCTTCTCCGATAACTCTCTCTAGGAAGCTGCAAGCAGCTCAAGAACTCGCTTTGAGCCTATATCGGTCTCATCCGTTGATGGGTCTGTTGCCTTCATAAACGTTGTGATCATCCAACGAGCTTATTGTACCTGAGGGGTAGGTATAATCCATCCATGGTCGTCGCATTCATTTTCAAGCTATCTTGGGCCTCTTTTACTAATGCATGGACACGGATAGGTTTACTTGAGTTTCCCGACACCACGCAACCCTCCTCGACCCCTGTGTATCTCTACACTCAATTCTCAATATACCACTACTTTTATTTCCTAATAGATCATTTCCTTGCAGAATGTTATAGACGGCACGAGGTTCCGATTTTATACTATGGTTGGGTTTGGAATAACTCCGTCCAAACTCCGCCTCGCCACCCGATATAACCTCTTGTCTTGATATTCTCCATCAGCAAACCTGCCTTCTTCATCATCTCCGAGTCTTGTTCGCAATGACCGAGTCTGACTTCTTGTCGGAGGATGAACGCTCAGTTGAGCTGTCCTCCATCGCTGCCATCTACCCTGAAATTAAAATAGATCCTGCTTCTCCCTTCAGGGCCTCTTTGGATATACCCGTCAAGCCTTCGACACCCTTACCCGTCTGCTTCGAGCGACATTCAGATGCTGGATTCCCAGCGGTTTTAACTCCTCCTACTTCCCTCGATGCCAGCGATGTTGGACTCGGCTTTGCTACCAAGGACGACGGACGGGACGTTCATATCCTCTCGCACCTGCCTCCTCTCAGTCTTGAGATTGATCTCCCAGAAGGCTACCCTTCTGAAAATGCGCCCATTTTCAAGCTCGAGACAAATCCACCATGGCTTCCACATTCGATCATCTTGCGACTCACAGAGGATGGCAAACGTCTGTGGGAAGAATGTGGGAGGGATCTCGTTGTGTATACGTATATTGATCACCTCCAGCAATTGGCAGAGACAGCTTTTAGCGTCAGCGACACTGCGGACCAGGAAGTGCAACTTCCCCGTGACATAAAAATCGCATTGCTGGATTTCAACAACAAGGCTGAGCGGGAAAAGTTCGAACAAGAGACCTTCGAATGCGGGGTTTGCCTCGAACCCAAGAAGGGATCGGTTTGCCACCGCCTTCTGTCCTGTTCCCATGTTTTTTGCGTTTCATGTCTGCGTGACTTCTACAACAGTTGTATCACGGAGGGAGATGTTGACAGTGTCAAATGTCTGGCTCCCGATTGCGCCAAGGAGAAAAAAGATACACCAGAGGTAGGGAAGCAGTTGAAAAAGCGCAAGAGGCATGACCGAACTCTTAGTCCGAGCGAGCTGCTTCAGATACCATTAGACCAGGAGACAGTACAGCGCTATGTCTTTTTGAAAAGAAAGAAGAAGCTCGAGTCCGACAAGTCAACAGTTTACTGCCCTCGACAGTGGTGCCAGGGTGCAGCTCGGTCCAAGAAGCATCCGAAGCCCATCGATCCCATGACAGATGATGTTGACTCGTCTGACGAGGAGGAAGGGTTTGCGTTTGATCCGAACGGAGATGAGGCCCAGCTACCTCCAATGGCGGATCGCGTTGCCATCTGTGAAGATTGCAACTATGCCTTCTGCAGCGTCTGTAAGAAAGGTTGGCATGGGGAATTGGTACGGTGCTTCCCTCGGCGAGAGGCGGAGCTGTCAGCGGAAGAGAAAGCGACAGAGGAATACCTAAGGCTTTACACCTCACCTTGTCCAACATGCGAGGCTCCCTGTCAGAAACGCATGGGCTGCAACCATATGATATGTTTCAAGTGCAGTACCCACTTCTGCTATCTCTGTTCAAGCTGGCTTTCTGAGGACAACCCTTACCGGCACTTCAACGATATCGACAGCCAGTGTTATAATCGATTGTGGGATCTGGAGGGAGGAGACGGCATTGATCCCGAAGGCGCTGAGGCTCTACACCGGATACCTAATGATCTGGTAGATTTCGACGAACCGAGTGATGACGAAGATGCTCCTGTCCTGGAGTTCGATGAACGTGAAAATGAGATCGCACGCCGAAGGCGACCTCCACCTCCTGCACCGGTGCCACCACAAGTCAACCAAGCTGCGGGTGGTCACGGTCACCGAGACCGTGGCAATGATGCGAATGTTCTGGATGCAGCGGGCAGGGCAGCCGCCGCAGAGAGGCAGGCCCAAGCGCGAGCGATGGCTGAGGTGCGAGCCCGCCCTGTTGCTGACCGTCCTCGGCAACACGACGGGCAAGCTGCAGTTCAGCCGCCTCGACCAGGACGAATCCATCGACCAGGCCTCCAGAGGTTTTTGGACCTGGTCCAGAATGATCGTGAGGATGAATGGGACAGTGACGAACTGGATGATGACTTCTGACTCCCCGACATGATCTACACAACAATCAGACATTTTCGACGACCATAATCTAAATATGAACTATCACGATGATGCCCAACTACCTCCTGAAAGACAATATTTTTTCGCATGCATTTGCCAAAAATAATGATGTGATGCATATATATCTCTGATTAGCGACATGATTTGTTCATAGCATTGCGTGTTTTTTGTCCGTTGAAAAAAAAGCTGTACATGTGCGAACATATTCTGTCAATTACCCAATGTACAATTCAAGATACCTTCAATTTTCCAGAAGAAAGAAAAGTCAAAACAAAAAGAAGCAGTGCCCAAACAATCCTTCTCAACCTAACAGCCATCCCGATGCAATCCCGCACCATACCCGCCAACCCCCCGGAAGCTAACAAATAGCACAAACCCAGAACCATTTCATGCCAGTACGCAGCCATTTACTGGCTGGTTCTTAGATAGGCTAAAAAGGTGTCTGGGCGCGATTCTGAAGCTCGGTGAGATGTAGAAGGTGTATTCGTTGAATGCTTGTGTCGTAGATGCTGAGTGACATATATTGAAATCTATTCAGAAAGTATGTTCTGATTTGCTTTTGTACATTCATTGAGGAGGTGGAGGGAAAGGTAACGACGCAGAAACGCCGTCCACTATGCAGATGTGCAGATGTAGAGACTGGTCGGCAGATTGGTTGGGGTATCGGTGCCCTCAGACAATGAGCACTTCGTCTTGATCCATTCCGTCCTCTTCATTGGATACTTTCGTCTTCCAGTCGTACCAGAACTCGTAGCTCATTACGGTATGGTCATCGTACATCAACAGTAGACGATATCGACGTGAGGGATTCCAGCCTCGCCAATGCTCGTCTGGCTGATAGGCTCGGGTCGCTCTAGCGTGACATTCAGGCAGTGTGGACGGGTATTGTTGTTCACGCTCTGCTGCAGATTGTCTCAGCCCAGGCCCTGAAGGAAATGTCGGAGCATATATCTTTCTCGAACCACCCTCTAGATTGGAAGATGGTGCGAAGGTATTGCTCCTGTCGTGATTGACATCCTTAAATTGGAAATTCAATTCTTTGCCGTCGCCCACGTGGCGAGGGATGTAGGGCACATCTGGAGGCATCTCAAATCCCTGAACGGGGCTGACGCTCATGCCTAACAGGGGGACCAAAGGACGATCACCGAACTTTTCCTGACTCTCAAACGGAACTATCCAATCGACTCTAAATGACAGACCAGTTTCTTCGGATTGCGTAAGAGCTATCACGGCGGCACGGCCTTTCTGGGATGCCGCGACAACTATGCCGTGCTCGGGAATGTACTTGACCATGTTAAAACGATCGCACGCGCGTATGGAGACTATAGGTCTGGTAAAACGCTGTCGAAGCGGTGCTCCACATACAACACTGGCTTGTGGCGCTAAAGGGTGAGGAAGCAGACGGATGTCGGTTTGCGAAAAATGAAGGATTGGAAAATAAAACCGAAAGAGAGCTGAAGTCAGTTGCAATATTTGTTAGCATGCCTGCTCCTAATTCACTGCAGGAACAATCTGAGTTACATACCATCGGAAGCCGAGTATGCGGCAAGTTCTGTGTCCGAAACGGCATCACTGTCGGAAGAACGGTCCTCGGCATCGTCCATCTCCTCATCAGTATCGTTGCTGTCTTCTCCCCGGTCGTCCTCATCGATATCTGAGTAATCTAGATTGTCGTCAAAATATTCTTCGGCACCTGGGATGTCGCCACCCAAGGCTTCTAACAGTGCAAACTGAAGAAACTCTGCCGTTGTCAAGGGTCCTTGTCCATGATGGCGCCGAAGATTGACGTTCGCATGGTGGAAACCGTCTGTGTTCCCATCGTCGCCAGATCCGACAGCATCCTGGTTCGAAGCTCTCTGGCTCGAGTCCGAATTCATGTCCGTCTCACTACTTTCGTCCTCAGCAGTCGAACCATCGGCAGCATGATAATCAGAGCTGTTGGCTGCCCCTGAGGGACGATTGGCTTCACCAGCAGCTCCCGAGTCTGGAAAACTGCTGTGGTCCGGAGGATGACGTTTGGGCCTTGTCGTATAGGCTTGTTTTTGAGTTTCACCACTGATGCGACAGTCCGCTCCGAAGATGTCAGGCAAAACTGATTGATCAGGCTCAGATCTGACTGCGGGTGGAAAGTAGTTGTAAAGATGTGAAGCATCTGGTATATGATGGCTCAGTCTCGTAATGTCGAACACTACCTGGCCGCGCTTCTTGCGACGCAAAGGCTGACCGCCGAAGGCCTCTTCTGTAGACTTGACTGGTTGAATCGTGCGTGGGTCAAGGGCGAGGACGGCCCAGCCTCTTTCGCTGCTGCTTCAGTTAGCTTAAGATGTCATTCAATATTAGAAATACCCGTGTCTCACTCATTACGCAAAGTTTCCGGAAACGACCTGAAGGTAGTCTCGTTGAAGTGATAGACGTTGAATGGGCCAAGGCTCTCCCAGATTTTCCACACAAGAAGCTTGTTGTCGATATCAGTACTGACCATCCATGTTCCATTGGGATCAAGATCGCAGTTATAGAAGCCGACAGACGGTATGTTTGAAAAGTGCCCTGTGTAGGTGAGCTTGATGTTTCTTGTCCGGTGCTTGTCCGGCATGAGTCGTTGCAATTGCGCAAATTGCTCATTACCCCTAATGTCCAACCAGGTCTGATCGTAGTCCGTGAAATCGAGTTCATTCTCCGGCTCATTCCCACAGTCTGTAGATGTAGGATTTACCAGCGCAAATGCGAAGACAGTGATGAGACCCGTGTTTGCGCTTACAGCAATAAGCCGCGCAAATTTATGTATAGCCAAGCCCCAGGCACTCGCCTGCACGTATTCAGCGAAGAATGGGTCCACCTGGGAACCATCAAGCGGGCGTTTGTCCTCGTTTTCTGCGGCGCGCTTCAGCGCTGAGAAAATTGCCTCGACTCGGTAACCGCAGACATTTCCCGAGTCAGTGACAAGCAGCAACACCTCCTCGCGACCGAGATCATCCACGAGAAGGTTGTTAATGGCATGAGGGTTGCTTGGCGATATATAGCCACTGCTATGGGGCTCCTTCATAACAGGAGTGATAGTCATTTCAGGCTGGGAGCCGAGCATCTGAAACGAGCCAGCAGGCTCCCATACATAGATTTGATGGCTGTAGGCCACGAACAGCAAGTTACGACGCTGAGAAAGTGCGATCTATGGATATATCAGCATCGAATTCCTACAGAACGTACAAAAAAGGCATTCAACTGACCAAATTGTTCCGCCAAGTTGCGGTCTGGGGAGGTATAGAGTCCGTCCTGCGACAGCGTCAATGTCATTCAGAGATTCTGGAAATAGAGCAGAGGTTGGACATACACAGGAAACTAAGGAAAGCAGTCAGCCAGTATCAATCGAGGAGCAACTTTGCTACACACCCTGTTTGATCCCTTTTCGACATTCAGCGGTCGGAGATGTAGGCCGTCTCCTGGGCGAAACCTCGGTCCCGAAGGTTCTCCATCAGGACCGCTGCGAGACGCCATATTTGGTAAATTACAGTGACTTTCACTGACAGTAGAGTGTCAGGAAAAAGGCTTCGCAATTCCACCGAGCTCCTTATAGACACGGAAGCAGAGTGGGCGACTCAAGAGGGTAACAAGAAGCGAAGGAGAGATAGGTATTATTGTCAAGCCATTAACATGAGGGGTATATGTACCAGACTGAAAACAACATCACCGAACCACCCGGTTATATCGAATTAATACATGAAATAGATAGGTTTCAGGCATTTCTTGAGTATAGAAAGCGAGGATCGTCCAAAGCCGCCTTATGGAATAGACCTGCGTCGTCAAACGATATACCTCGTCCACATGTGGTAATCAATGAGGTCAGACAATATTTATTGATGCCTCAGGCAAACATTTATGCGCACGTGCCATGTGTCCCCTTCAGTGAGCTCAATCAGTCAGTCTCCATCCGTTGACAATCAAAACCAAGCTTTTTGCGAACGGGATACATCTAAGATGGATCTTGTCGCAGGTGTTCGCAAAGAAGGCAGCCGGTAAGCACTCCCTGAATTCTCGCTACATGTGTGTTTACTCTATGGATATTGACTGTAACAGCGGCGGCCGCGGCGAGTTTAAATGGTCTGATGTGAAGGATTCTACACATCGCGAGAATTACCTCGGCCATTCTCTTATGGCCCCCGTCGGTCGCTGGCAACAAGGTCGTGATCTACAATGGTATGCCAAGGGCGACATAACCGCGGAAGAGCAGGCTCGAAGGGACCGTGAGGAGCTACAACGGGTCAAACAAGCTGAGGAAGAAGCCATGGCACGAGCCTTGGGCCTACCTCTACCACCGTCGAGTGCGGATACCAATGCAAACCTTACACCTCTAGGCGAAAGGGAGCCGGAGACTGTGGTTCAGGGTCCAGCTGATAGGAAGAGAGAACGGAGAAGTGAGCGGAGTCGGAGTCCAGGAAGGCATCGTATACGTGATCGCGAGAGCAACAGAGACAGGGACAGAGACAGAGACCATAGACATCGTAGGCATCACGATGAGCGCGAAAGTCATCATCGGGGCCACCGTCAGCGATCGAGATCCCGGTCTCGTGATCGCGAACGCCGGAGAAGGCGAACACGTTCGCGGTCCACGAGCAGAGTAAGGGCGGGTGAAGATGGTCACCGGAGACACAGAGAAGACCATCGTCGAAGACATCCAAGGGATCATGGCTCCGATAATTATCGACGCCGGTGAGTCTTTGACTGCATCATATTTATGATCTATTTGCACATGGAGTTGGGCGCTGGGAGGCAAATGTTAGTGTACAGGTGTTCCGATTCCCCCTAGATTATACCAATATATCTAAGGACCTTGTTTGATAATTCTACAACTCGTCATGGCCTCTCTCCTTGTTGGCAGGCAGGTCAGGCATTGACATGATCTTCACCACCATGCTGGTCCAACCTGTGAAGTGTTGCGTCCGCTGCCCCTTTCCGGTTTCAGGGTTGTACTGTTCCCAGGCAAATCCTGTCTCCTTCCATTGTCTGAAGACATTTTCGACCAAATTTTTCCGGAGGCTCGAGTACATCTCACGTGCCTGTTCTTGACGAGGACCAGGCGTTGTTGCAATGTCCTAGTTGGCACGGTCAGTCTATTTGTACAAACCGAGATTTCAAATGATATTTACTCACGTAAAGATTCTTGACCACCAAATAGTTGATGGGCATCCATATCGGGCTTCTCCAATAGTTCTCGGCAGTACCGTAGAACTCGTCTTTCTTGCTCAAGCTGCGGATACCGTAGTCGCTCCAAAGCTCTTCCGGATCTCTGATTAAATCCAGAACAGCCTTGAGTCGAGGACTATCAGGGCCCAGCATGCCTGTCAAGAACGGGAAGAGGGAAATATAGCCCTTGTGACAAACATGGACACTTTCTTCGTATTCGTCGATGGTGGCATCGCAGTACGTCTGCGCCTCATCATCCCAATGGAGATCGTCGATGTTACGTTCAATCGCCGTTTCGTACACTTTAAATTCTTCCGCATCCTCAGTCTCGCCGACAAACTCGGCGATACGTCGCATGGCACGAGTCATCATTCCCATCCAGCTAATCAAATCGACATGCAGCTCGCCTGGGTGGGGAGGCTGTGGGCGAGGATAATCATCCAGTCCCGAAGTGAGAATATGCTGGACGGACCTTCCTCGCCAGCGGTATGCTTCTTTCGTGGAAAATGCTTCCCGATCGTACGACTTGACGTCTCCTTTTTGGGTAGTCCTGTACCAAAAGTAGTGCCGCCTGAGCAGTGGATAGATCGAACGGATAAATGCCTCGCCCAGCTCCGGGTTTTGCAGATAGGTCATGCGCAGACCGTCCAGCACGTCCAATTTCAGAGAAGAGGCGTCCTTGCTAGCCTCCAGCTTATCCAGAAAAGCCTCCAGTACCATGAACAGAGTCGGCGGGTTGGCGTAATGAGGATACTGAACCGTAAATTCTGGTGGCACCTTGCTACGGGCCTCGGCACCAAGGATTTGCTCTCGAGCAATCCAGCCATCCTCATCCATCAGATTCAGCCAGCTCTTCACAATTTCGAGCCTTTCTCTGAGTTAGTAGGCCAATTCATTAAACGGATATTGGAGAATAGGGAAAAAGGCCGGGGAAATCGAGGAACATACGCAAGGTCAGTGTCCCATTCAATTACAGGGATCAGGTGGAATCCCTCATCCCAAAGAAAACCCCTGGGGAAAAACGGGCGAGATGGGACACAAGTGAAGAGGTCCTTGGGCCCTTCAAGAACAGGTTGAGCTCGCGCCCTCGCCTCGGCCGTCTCTTCCCAGAAGCCTTCGTTTTCTTCGTCGTACTCTGGTGCTGCAGAGCGGTCAACAACATCATCTCCATGGAAAAAGCCAATGCCGCCAATGAGATTCGACAGCATTGCTTTGGAGAACTCAGAGTACTCTGCAGTCTCAAAGGGAGACTGCGGTGGAAGGACTGTGTCGAAGCGGTCAGAGAATGATTGAGAAGCGCTGGAGATCTCTTCGGTGAGTTTGTCGGCTACATCCCTTTGATTAGTATTTTCGTTCGATCGGCCGGCGAGGCCAACGAAAGGAGGAGCTTACACGTCACGGGATCTGGAGAAGACACAGAATTGAACAGGATATCGAACTGGAAAGTGTAAGCCATGTACCGACGAGCAAATGGTAAACAATACCTCAAAAGCACCCTTGAACACCTTCTGAAGGAGGTGGATGTTCCCGTCGCCAGGCGCGTTCTTGATCGTAAAGACTTGCGCTGGTGGGGGAGGATTCTCCTGGCCAAATTTCTGTATAATCTCATTGACTTCGGACTTCATCTGCGCGAAAAGAATGGCTGTACATATGTCAGCGCCAATTTGATATGTGAGAGCGATTCCTCGGGATACTGAGCCTACCCTTTGCCTGCCAGAGGTTTTCAGGTGCAATGGTAGAGCTGGAAACCAGAGTGCGATCCAGCGGCTTGTCTTCGTAGGACGGGTGCTCATGTTCAGGATGTTCGTTGGTTTCAGGGCCAGCAGTCACATCGATGGAGAAATCTCCAAGATCGGTCGTATATCCTGTCAATTTCACGTCCCCCTCATACCCAAGAGGACCCGATTCCGTCGCAACACCCAGGTTTCCCAGCCCCTCCAAAGTAGCATAGAAGACGATTGATGTAGGTTGGTCTGGGGAACCATCTTCGCGAGGGACACCTCTCACTCTGGCAGCCCAGCTGCCGCCATGTTGTCCACCAGGGACCTTAATAAAGTCGATTGTCAAGTCCAAGGAGTTTCCGGTGTCATGGATTGTCTGCCGCCCGCCTTTTCTGATATCGTACTCGTCCCAGCCATAGCCAGCCATGCCTTCATTTTGCTCGCAAGTATGTCTGAAGTCTTCGAATAGCGGTCAGTATTCAATGCAATGCAATTGATCTCTCAATGCACTAATCGTGCCGGAGACATACTGGCTTGCGCGGTGCCGTAATTGTCCACCTTCGCCCACATCAACCCAGCGGACAGACTATTTGCAATGCGAGGGCGAACACCAAAGTAGAGATTGGACTTGTAGGGACCCCATAATAATGAGTCGTTGTTGGCCTTCGCTGTCTCTGTGGTCAGGACAGATATATCGTCTGCGGCGGAGGCTTGACCAGCGGAGACCACGACATTATAGAGAAAGGGCGCGAGAAGGAAATGTAAATTCGGGAAATACATAATTAGGAATGCATCGGAGGAAAAGCAGAGATCTCAAGACTCGGCATGAAATTATGACATGAGACCTCGCAATTGGAACGGTTCTCAACACTATCATCTGTCCTAAAGCGGAGAGCTTCTGGCCTCCGCTCCGCACGGGTTACGTGGCCCAAGCTCCTATCAAGTCCCAGCTGTCAGTCTTCTACTTAAGCAACAACAGACTGAGCTGAGAGGCACAATTTATTTTCAGAACATGACTATACCAAAATGACATGATTCTAGTCTATATAAAGCTTCAAATCTTTACAAAAAGTTCCTCGGATCTAGAGACCCGACATTTGCGCTCTTTGCGTCGCCATCAAAGACAAATTCGCTGATAAGCTTTCCGGTCCCAGGAGCGTTTTGGATACCCCAACAGGTGTGTCCAGCGGCAAGATAGAGTCCTTTGGTGCCAGTGTGGCCGATCAGAGGACCACCCCGTACGGCAGTGACGTTAGGTAAGTAGCAAGCTTGCCGTGCGCAAACCTGTCCGTTCCGAAGCTGATCAGAAATGCTTCCCACTTGGTCGATAATCTCCTGGCACCGTGCCTGGTCCACTTCAACATCTGCTGTCGTCTTTGGAAGCGGGACAACCTGGTCACCCTCACCACAAGCATATACCGTCTCGTCGGGGCGGGCGTAGATCTCCGGAGACGCGACTGTTGGGCGTGAGGGCTTCGATGGATCGAAGTTGGCGGGTATTTCAATGTTCGTAAATAGAGTATGAGCGCTCACCGGCTTGACCGGTCGGATGACAACACTGTGAGCGCGCATTGCCGATATGGGAGCTTCCGGCATGACCGTTCGTGTCCAGGGACCAGCAGCAATAATGATGTCCGTCGCGGAAATTGTGCGCGACTCTCCGGACTCCTTATCGGTGTATGTAACTGACTTGACAGCATCACCTGCGTAGCCAATGTTTGTCACTGATCCCAACTTGATCTCTGCGCCTTTGTCCTCGGCAAGCTTTGCGATTGACGTGGTGAAGAGGTAAGGGTGGACTTGGGCGGTTTCGCCAGGGTCGCTCATGCTCTCATAGCCTCTGATCAGTTCGGGGTCAATCCAATCAAGATCATGCGGAAATTTGGCTTTCCGCAGTTTCGCAATAGCAGCTTCACTCCGCTTCTGAAGGGATAATGAGCTTCCCGTGTCCTTCTCGCCCGCATCCTTCTTTTCATTGAGCGGACGGCCTCTGGCAACTATCTGTCCACAGCCAACTTCTCTATAACCCCATCTCTCTTTACCGTTGTGTTCCTTGGCCAGATCCGCATGCAGCTTGTAGCTCAAAGGAACTATATTGCTTGGATATGCCCATAGCGCCAGGAGTCCCCCAGCTTTGCCTGATGCTCCTCCCGCAATCTCTGTCGCCTCGATCAGGGTCACTTTATGGCGCGATGGATCGTATGATGGGTGCCTTGTCAAATAATATGCCGAACAGCATCCAATGATACCACCGCCTTTGGGACCATTTTATCAGCTTTATGAACGTCAAAATGTGTGCGGGGTAGTTCAGATTGAAGGCGAGCCATGCATACCAACGATAACAATTTCACGACGCTCACTCGAGGCCGACATCTTACGTTGCAGGGACAGTCTGGGTTTCAGAAACCTTATGGAAGCCACACTTGCGGAAGTTGTTGGTATTCGTTACTAGATGCTCTCTAGATAGGAGGTGTGGGGATAAAGAAGGGCTACAAGGCACATACGTCACTCGAGTCATGTGCCTTGTCGCAGGAGCTGGCATACATAAGAACTTTGACATCGAAGCTGATACTAGTAGGAAGTATTATTAGTTTGTTGTCATCGCCAGAAGGCTATTGATATTGTACTGAGAATCTGGTAAGCATGACCCAGCTCTTATCTGGTTGAAATGAATATCAAAACTTCAAATATGCCGCCCAAATTCAGACACACAAAAGGGCGTGCCATAACAAAACCTGCTCCGGAAAATGCGCACAATGGATGGCAAATCGATCTGAAGAAAACTGCCCGGATGGAGAAGATGAGAAGATGAGAAGAAGAAGTCGATAGAAATAGAGAGCTCTTAGCGATTGTTGCATCACACATTTCAAATTTGTAGTATCGCTTCGCATCAAGGACTGAGGGGCCGGTTGAATCCTCCTACACGATTCATGTATTGTCTGTACACAGTCTTCTTTTCTTTCCGCACACCGTAGACGTTGTTTCCAGGCACTTTTGTATTCTTCGTGCTCCTGAACCTCGTAAAACCCATGCTCTTGCGCATCAGTGCCTCCATTTCATCTTCTTCGACCGGTACATCAGGGTCCAACTCCATCTCGTCCATGTCTCGTCGTGATGGTGCATGTGAGACGCCGTTGCCATACGGACGGTTGTCTTTGCGATCGTCTCTGCGATCTCCCTTGGGCCCTCGCGGTGGTGGTGGTGGTGTTCTAGTCCTGTCCTTATTCCCACTTCGAACAGGTGAGCGGGAGCGGTCGCGGTATCTGTCTCGGTACCCTTAGAGAGTGTTAGGTATGAGCAGCTCGTATTCATTGGTAGGATGCGGCATACCTCGTCTATCGTAATGTCTTTCTCGGCTCGCGCTTCTCTCTCTGTCCCTAGCTCCCCGACCTTCCCTATCCCGATCCCTCCTATCGCGATCGCGGTCACGGTCACGGTCACGTCGGTCTCGAGACCTGCTCCTTTCTCGGCGCCTTTCAACTCTATCTCTTGAGCGCGAACGGTATCTTCTGTCATCACGGGGCCCGTCACGCCGCCGATCGTCCTTCTGATGTGGAAGCTCACGCCTAGGGCTTCTGCCAATATCTGAGTCCGGCTCAGGAGAACGCGTTTTTCGATCGTCTATGTCCCACATTGTCGAGCTATCGACTCGTCTCGCTCGTTTTGCGGGGGGCTCTGCCATTTTCCAATTCTGCGCTGTTGTGTTGCGGAGATCGTGATCGTAAATGATCGATAAGGGGGGGGCGTGCTTTTTCTGATGCTCGAGAGCAAGGCGATCTTCGGAGACTGGTGAGGTTATTATGATGAAAAAGACTTGGAACTCATGACTGGTCTACAAAAGGGTATCAATTCATCGAAAAAAATGTTTTTGGCCGTGTCCTTTTGCTGAACAACACTTCGGCGCAGTTGAAACGGAGAAACGTGAAGTTATTACGGTTGCCGATTTCGACCTGATGCGCAACTAAGCCAACTCAGGCCTTCGACTTTCCCGCATGATAAGCATCCTCTACAGCCTCCAGTCACATCCATTATCTCGTCATAAATACCAACCTTAAAGAAGATGAGGCCAGAAACTGGGAAGGGCCAATGTCTTCTCAGCACGAAAATAGCCAATTTTCGTATCTGCTGCTGATTTCTTCCGGTTTTGCGAGCAGTAGCTCCTTTTTGCAGTTAATTTTCGGCATATTGACTCCTTTCCCAAACATAGCATAGGTATTCATCAGATTGTCACATTGATTACCATTGTTCTTATATACTATCGGTTATAAACCAGACACAGCAGAAAAACAACGACACAACTGAATAAGTGGATGAGTTGCAATTGCTTTGTGGATATCTCAAACCAGTGCTGAATCCGAAATTCCAGCGTCAAGGCACACTTTCGTCGGATAAGAATGGCCCATAGCCAGTTCGTTTAAAGGGCAGACTGCGTCCTTCAGTGATGTGATATTCCTGGCCGCAGAAGCTCAGAGAAACATCAAACACCCGCGTACATCTTCTAAAACCTGAGGTCACACATACGCGTGCAGTATACCACGGATTGTTCGAGTGGCGAGGAGTGAAAGCCTATGAGAACACCAGACTGGAATCTTTCAAAGACTGATGTGTGAGAATGCCGTAGCTGTGGTCGGGTCGGCTCCCAAGAATCTCAACGAAGTATTCAAAGAGTGGCTTTCAGGATGTCTTAGTTCTTAATCGGCAAAATCCAAGTTTCACCATGGCTTATTGGCTCATTGAAAAGTTAGAAAGCCCTCATTCTTCTACTTTTGATCTGACGACAAGGATACCTTACGCTCTTTGACTCTAACAAGATGAAGGACTAACTCGCTGTGGTGCCTCAGGCAGTCAGGTGCCCAGTAATCTGCGAATTTAATGCAGCCTGACGGCCCGTCCCGCTGAGCCTCAGTCTAACTGCAAAGACCAGTTAGGCCCGCTGCCCCAACTCCCAAGAATATTCTGCTGTCGATGATTCAATTTCTCCGATCCTCGAACAAACCCCGCATCGCGAAACATTTCATCGTCGACACAGGCACACATGACATCTGTAGCCTACAAAATGGCTCCTTCAAATTTATCTCATCGCCAGACACATAATCTACTTCTTATTTCGAAACTTCTCAGCCTCAGAGACACTGCTTCCCCCCTCACATTGTTGTTGGACTCTTTAGAACAACCAGCCACGCCATTGATTCAAGAGTATATACGACGCGCGAGAGTGAGTAATTTGGCCCATGAGCAAGAAGCTACATTTTGATCATTCACGTTGGCTATGAAGCTTGCTATTGATAGCATTATCTAGCTATCTTTTGAGCTGATTCATTGTGCTAACGGCCCCTGGGGAAGCTTTCAAAAGTTCACGTAACGCTCATAGCTTTCGAGACATTGAGGACCTTCGAAGGTGTTGATGCGTTTATCTCAGCTCGAAAGAAGCATCCTTCGGAAATTGTCAGGGAAGTAGGCGCTGCTTACAAGCCAGCTTCTAACGTTCCCTCGCGCCGTGAGTGAAATATACAGACCGACTCCTTCGCAATTTTGCTTACTTCCTCGACCCCTGGTTATAGGTAGATTAATTCTCATTGACTCTATCAATCCACTCTTGCGCTCTAAGAAGACCGATTCGCAGTTCCATTTGCCAACTTTCCTCGGCTCGTTCATCGCACCTCCCGGCTCATCTCCCGCCAAAGTCGAGACCTCACTCATCGTGACCTTCCACCAGGACGTCCCGAACCCCTTATGTGCAACTCCCTACTCTCCATCGTCTTTGTCTGTGCTGAGCTATCTCGCAACTACCGTCATAAAGCTCCACTCTTTCTCACACATACTTGCCCAGAAAGCCGCCCGTGATCGCAGTCTGGCTGCGCCTGTCTTTGGACTCGAAGAAGAGCTGGATGGAGTCCTGCTCGGCCGACTGGACAAACCAACAGGAAAAGATTATGTTGAAGGCGTCGTGTTAGAAATGGAGCATCGGCGTAAGAGTGGACGTGGCGTTCTGGAGTGGTATGTACTACCACCAGCAGCGCGCTATCCGTCCCAATACGCGAAGGAAATTGTGATTCTACTGGACGATCACCCGCTGTATCGTCCCCCGGTGGAGTCAGACGTTGGAATGGGAAGCGATGAACCAGAGTCGACTTTCGAATTACGTCTCACCGAAAGGCAAAGAAGGGAGAGAGAAGGAGTCGTGTTGCCCTACTTTGATGCGCAGCAAGGCAACGGCCCTGGAGAAGGCGGACGCATACTCTATGATATGGGTGAAGAGGATGATTTCGACGAAGAAGAGGACGAAATATGACGTTTCATCTGGCTGGTCACAGCGCCTTCGCAAACCGTTTACATGACTTCATCTCACACTACATATGCAGACTCTCTTCTGATTGCCGTCAGCAGCGAGTTATTTGCTTCTCCGTGTCATGTGACAGCATGTGTGAGACTTTCACTTGCAGATTATGAGGTTTATCAGGATGACGAGGTCAAGTATGAGTGGCAGGATGTCCTGCATCCATGGGGAAAAATTAAGCATACATTGAAGGAAGGGGACGTTAAGCACCATAGCGTTCGGACGAGGAAGGGAATCAGAAGAATCGAAGCCAGATTAGGAAGAGCAGGAGGAAGCCAACACCCGCAAATGGTCCGTACTATGATATGTCAGAAGCGCGTTTCTGGGAATCTTCCTGTGGGTGCGGAGACAACCTACCTGCTTGATCAACAGCTCCCAGTTGATGCGAACTGCAGCTTTCTTATACCTCTTACTGTCCTCCCGCAGACGTCCCGATAGCTCGCCCATGCGTTCCAAACTATCGCCTCTATACAAAAGGTCCTCAATATTCTTGGTCATTACCTTGGTCACATCACGAAGCTCGTCATTTAAGCGGTCGAGGTTCTGCGATGCGCGGCTATCCTGGTAAATCTTCTTGGTGCGTTGAATGAAAGTATCGAACTCCACAAAAGCATATGGTCGCAGAGTTGGAGAATGATACTGTGACGGGGAGTATGTGGTGGTGAATTCCGTTGCTAGATCCTCGAGATAGGTGAAGGCAAGCTTCCGGGGGTACGAACGATCGCAAATACACAAAAAGCAGATGTCATCTTTGATGAGATAGCTAAATTCGGCATGAGTAGGTTTCTATGGGTTGTGCATGTAAAGACCGTGCGTACTGTAAATTATACTGGCCGGATTCAATACTGGCTTGCGGTGCAGAATTGCGACTCAACCGGCGAAATATCATTTTGGCCTGAGACTTAAGCTCGGAAAGCTCCGCTTCTGCCTGGGTAGAGATTTGCCTTGTTAGATTCTCTCTTGTGAAGTTTCAGTGAATGAGTCGTCAACCCACCTGTTCATCATCCACCGACGCTGCTAGCATCAGGCCTTCCTCTTAACGTCAGTGACTGCTCCATTTCAACGCCATGTTGTGCTGTATCTTACCATCCAGCCTGGCAATCTGAGTCGATTTAACCATTATGAGAATAACTGCAACCTTATCTACCGTCTAAAGCGTGCGCAGACTTCCAGAAGACAGCTTACACAGAGACTCCCTGCTTGGTGTTGTCCTCAACAATGGCCCGCAAGCGCAAGGCGGTCGAGAGCGGCAGTACGGGGAAACAACCGAAGAAGTGAGTGATGCCATCTTGTACACCCAGCAGACTACGAAAGCTGTGGTATATGGTTCGCTCGCGGCGGATGTCTGTTGCGCGTTTATTAAGGGCAGATACTAACAGTGATGATTCAGAACCCGGGCAGCTCGCTCTGCTGATGTAGCAGGTTCTAATGACGCTGGCGCGTCCGGCTCCGCAATGTCTACAAACACCAAACCGAAGCGGAATCCCAGAAGAACGGCAAAGGATCGGTGGGAGGAGGAAAAGTTGATGACCAGTACCACTTCGCAACTCATTGATATAGACCTTGTGGTATGTCGTGCTGGAGTGGACTATGCGCAGTCAGAGAACGTGACCGGGAAGCTGATTGATCTCGTTCTGAATCCAGAAACTGCTCGCGCGGCCCGAGGCATGGGACTGCCTTGAAGAAAGTGAGAAAGAGGAGATACTGAGTCTTCTTCCTGAAAATTTACACCCGAACCGCGAGTCCACTTCGGATGATCCGAAAGCGAAGATACCCCCTTTGCCTGAATCTTTCCTACGCTATTCAAACTTCTGGCGAGATAGTATTCGTCTGTTTCAGCTAGACCTCCAACATGGTCGTTACGATCCTGAATGGCAACGCCAAGCTCATGAGGCGGTACGCGAAAGGGAAAAGGGGAAGTTTGACCGATTTAAAGAGGATGAATTCGAAGAATTTTGGGGCCAAAAGCAGAAAATGGACAAGACTCTTGCCGCTGGACAGAGTTCCCAAGTGAAGTTGAGTACGCTCATTGAGCACGGAGTCGTGCGCGAGGGTGATGTCTGGAAGTATTCGCGAACCTTTGCTGGCAAAGGGCGAAATAAGGTCTTAGTTGAAAAAGAGGCAAAAGTGAGTGCAGCGCCCCTTACCCTCTTTTCTCATTCGCCAAATATTCGTTTTTGGGCTAACCAATACTCATGGCTAGATTCTGAAGATTAACGGATCGCGCTTGACTTTTGCAGTTCCTCCAGGCCAACGAGTCTTCCTGTCTGCCGTTCAAGCTCCAGGCGGGCAGCATTCTACGGCGAGTTTTCAAGCCAATGACGATAAGATTTCCAAGACTGAGGTCCCAACGAACGGAGCTGCCAAGGAAAACGAAGAAGCACAAGGGGCCACTGAGAGCACAAGGAAGTCCAGATCCTCCAGAAAGCGGAAATCTGAAGTCGAGCTCGGTAGTCGCAAAAAGCGTCTACAAGAATCTATATCTTCTGACGACGACTCACAGGATTGTGTGCCAGATGACGATGTTGTCCTTGTAGCCAATCCCCAAAGCTTGGCGGTGGAGATCACCAATTCTCGACCAGAGGCAGATTCATTCTTACCTATAGGGACACTCGACGCTGTCTCGACTAACAACACAGAAGCAGGAAGCGCTGCAGCAAGCGAAGTCCTTCAAGATAAAGTCGCTTCTGGTTTAGCGAATGACAAGAAATCGTCTTCAATCGATCTGGCCGGCGATTCGGATCAGATCTCAGAAATCATTTTAGAGAACATCGGAGGCCCAAACGCACTCAGTCTAAAAATCTTGGAAGTGGATGGGCGTATCAAGGACGTTCCTAATGGGAATGCTTGGAAGGAATTTCGATCTTACCGAAACAACCAGGACATGGGAAGTTTATGGGAGGTCCGACAGGCTTGGTACCTTAGAGGGAAGTAGAAAACTTCTCTTCAAAGTATCTGGAAGGGATTCGTGCTGGCTACGACTTAATGCGAGCATTGACGGCCATTTCCTCATAATCGTCTTCGGCCAGGCGTTCTCAACAAACTTACGTGCAGCCATTCAAGGCTACTTTTCACTGAATGAAATGGCAGTTGAAGTCTCGAAAATAGCGCTTTAGCAAGAGTTGAGAAAGCGCGCGATCCAAAAATCAAATTCTTTCATTGTGGTTTGCCCCCCAAGGCCATATTATCTTCCTTGGACGGACCTGGGCCACCGTCAGCAGCGTAATCAACAGCGAAGCTTGCTTGGATGAAATCCTCCATTTCTTCGCTAACGGTTTTGAGCTTTTCTTTGACGCTCGCGACACCTTCTTGTCCCACTATGTGACGTGAAGGTGGGTTCTCATGACCACCGATGGCTGTGATAGCGTACACAGTCTCTTCAACCAAGACTTCCATATGTGCGGAACTTAGTGGTGGATACATGGAGAAAACTTTGGGGGCGGAAAAGGGCCCTTCTGCAGCAGAGCTGGCTTGATTTGAATTTTGGTAACCATTCTCCGTGTCCTGGGTCTGTTGGTTGGGCAGACGAGGAATCAGTCTGTTCAATATACCACGGAACAAAGGGGCATGATTGATAGCAGGAGAGTACGCTGGAACTATCGGAGGCACACTGGTGATCAAGTTTGTCAGGATACCAATTTCGATGCTGCATTGGAAGATTGTGAGCTTCACGTTAAACGGAGCGATTTCGTACGCGAGGCTCTAAATGATGTAACTTCTTAGCTAGAAAGCGAAAATTGAGCATTCTTCCGGGAGCTTACGTCGCAAAATCCCTCCAGGGCCCAGCCAGCGGCGGAGTACATCCCAAGGCCGGGTGTACCAATGTGGGCAGCTACTCCAGATTAGAGGCGCATCGAAGCTATAGTGGTCCAGGAACGTCATACTAATGCCAGAAAGAATCATGATATGGCCGGATTTCTGCCTCCTCATGTGAGGCAGCGTTGCTTTGATAATGTTCAGAGGGCCGAAGTAATTGGTTTCAAACTGGTCCCTGACCAAGTTCAAAGTTTGCTGAGAAGCTGCAAGCTCCTCTACCGTCCCGATCAGGGCTTCTGGCGTGTCAGCACATGAAACCAAAAAGGGAAAAACAGGAAATTAGATTCCTTACTTTGGCTAGTACAGCAGAGTAGAATGTCTACCTTGCCGAATGATGCGACTGCCTCGGCGACCATGGCTTGACATTGCCCTATCATTCTACATGTCGTCTGTCAGCTCCGATCATTAAATTCATGAGAGGGGGGGAAAAAAAGGTCAGAAGCAAGGACGTCCGCACCTGATATCCAAAGGAACTGTCTTGAAGCGCTGCGCCCATCCTTCATCGTGGTGACTCTCAACTTCAGCCAGGAAGGCCCCAAACTCCTCGCGACGGCATTCGTCCCGGTCCAAGTATGTATGTGCCAGTCCAACTAACGCATAGTCACCGTGCATAAGAATCTGGCGGGTAACCGATATCCCAATGGGTGAGTCTCCTGCAGTGAGAACCCATACTCGCGGTTCGCTATGGGCAGGAAACTGTGGGCGGGAGTAATCGGGGGAGGGTTGATTGTCCGTCATTAGGTCGAGGCCGATAGTTCACGCGCCAGACATGCCCATCGCGGACGGAGGGTCCCCTAGAAGCCGCGATTAAATAAGAGTGCTGCAAGTGTAGATTGGCGTGAAATCTACCTCAGTAGAAGCGATAGATTTAGAAGTTCGGAGCCGACATCATCGATCATCGACTCCGCCAAGCACGAACGCTACTACTGGCCTAAGGCCCGCCAAAGTGGACCGAGCTCGGTTCTCGACCATCGGCTGTCCGTGTACGGCTCTACCTTTCCTTTCCCCTCCCTCCTTTTTGTCTGTTACTCTCTTTCCTCATCGTCGATCTCTAGTCAGCAGAGCACGATGCCAGAACAGAGACAGCGCAGGGAAGAGCAGGAGTCTGGCGGCGTGCGTATTCAGTTGTACCAGTGTCCGGAGGATTTAAATAAGCTAACTTGCACTCGTGTCCTTTTAGTCCGGCCTGAAGGGTGCTCTTCAGGGTCTCGCTATTTTTATGCTGGTGCAGTTTCTCATCAGTCAATTTTTCGGAAACAAGTCAGAGAATGCTGGATCCGGAGCGAAGCCTGGCGAATTGACTTCCTTCGAAGCTCGTCCGCCTCGCAGCGAGATCACCAACTACAGTCCTATCCCCGATACCGTTGCTCCAGTTTGGCCCCCAAACAGCGCCATCGATATCAGCATCTACGTCTCGCCGTCCATTGTCCTTCCTGCTCTCAGCTCGCTCCCATCGGATTCTCTTGTATTAAGTGAAAAGAACTTCACGATCGGGAATTACAGTGACACCAGGGAAATCGAGACTACCATTCAGATTCCCAAGGAAGTCCAGCAAAATGGGACGCTTTGGGCGCATTTCTATGTTGCGCTCACTGGACACCAACTCGATCCAACGGCTAAGGACTATAGCACAGATAGTGCTGTGCACTTCTTCCGCCCGCTGAACCAGTATCTTCCCAAAAAAAGGGTCAAGAAGCTCAAGAACCTGCTTGCCAGCTCGGACAATGTCGAGGAGGAGGAAGAAGACAACAGCATCCCGGATGTCTCTATTGCCTCCTACTACCACCCCAACTTCACGGTATCGCTGATTCCTGATTCCGGAGTTCAGAAATACCGCCAAGTACACCCTGCTATGCGTCATCACATGCAACTCGAGGCGACGGGCGCAAGAGACGCCTCTGGTCAGAATGGGTGGTACTACCCTATTGTGTTCTTGAATACTTTCTGGCAACTCCGAAGCCATATGACCGAGCTCAACTCTACCGTGAAGACGATGCCTTTGCGGATCACTCTGAACAATCTGTCCAACTGGAAGTTTAGCATGATGGCAAGTGTTGACGAGAATGCAAAGGCAAACGCCCGGCAAGCCGCATTTGGAGGCTCCGTGCCTGGGGGCGGCGATGGCTCCGAGTTTGAGATGGTCAAGGAAGTCCTCCTTGACACGAACATTTGGTTGCTTGGTACAACTGGTGTGGTTACGATTCTGCACATGATCTTTGAAACTTTGGCATTCAAGAACGACATTGTAGGTCCCCTTCACTGGACCACAGTATGCAATCAATCTAATGGCTCTACTCTAGTCTCACTGGCGCAAGAAGAAGGATGTTGTTGGAACTTCAGTCCGCACTATTTTGGCTAACGTGTTCATGCAAACGATTATCTTCCTCTACTTGGTGGATAATAGTGAAAACACTTCCTGGATGATTCTTGCCAGTCAAGGTTTCGGTATCTTACTGGAGGCGTGGAAGATCACTAAGACAGTGGATGTGCGTCTGCGTTCACCGCCAGCTGGGTCTTTCTACTCTTTCCTTCCATACGTTGTGGTATTCGAGGATAAGCACAAGCTTTCGGAAACTGAGAAGAAGACCAAGGAGTATGATGAAATTGCATTCCGCTGGCTCTATATCATCGCTGTGCCTCTCCTCGGTGCATATGCGGCTTACAGCTTGATCTACAACACACACAAGTCGTGGTACTCCTACATCATCGAAACGCTTGTCGGCAGCGTTTACGCATATGGCTTTTTGATGATGGTCCCCAGTCTCTATATCAACTACCGCCTGAAGGCTGGTGCTCCTTGATCCAATACCTCTGTAATAAAGCTAATATTGTCAATAGTCTGTTGCTCATATGCCTGGCAAGGCCTTGACATACAAATTTCTCAACACCTTCATCGATGATCTGTTCGCATTTACTGTCAAGATGCCATGGCTCCACCGGCTTGCAACTCTTCGAGATGACGTGATTTTCTTCATTTGGCTCTACCAGAGCTATAAGTACAAGGTCGATTACAAGCGGGTCAATGAATTTGGACAAGGAGGCGACAGTGATGAGGAGGCAGAGGAGCCGGCAGCAGCTGAATCTGAGAAGAAGTTGGAAGCGGTGCCCGAAGCCTCTGGAAGGGACAATGGTGAGAAGTCGACCCGGAAGAGGAAGTAAGAATGACTTGCTTCGCAATGTCTTTCTTTTGTGTGATGCAGGAGGGAGCTATATACCTGGGTAACTCCTGGATAACAGCTTAGATATAATTTGCCATCAGCAAAACTCAACATTCATGAGTTTCAACCTCCATCAACCGTATTTTTTAATCTTTCAGACCCAATAACCATAAAATCCGTGTAACTGAAGCGCAGACCACCTATGAAGTCAAGTAAATAAGACATAATTCTCGTTTCTTGACTTCAAGGACAACCGTTGAAACATTACTTAAAATTGGGAGCAGTAGACTGTCATTTGGTTGATCGCCACGTTCGGTTTAAGCTCGCAGTTTCCCGCGACCGATGAGATGGGCATGCACAGTTGAGGATACAAGTCACAGACTGTTGCGTTAACCTGCAAGTGATTCAATCTTGATTCCCAAATCCACTGCCCTTCTTGGCAAGAAGACGATTTGTGTCTGCACAAGGGACATTCGCATGATATCGCATTGGCGCGAAGGGACATCGACGGAACGCGAAGAAACCCAACAAAACGTGAATCAGCGCGATCCTGCCAACAAGCGCCGAGCGAGAAAGGGAACGCGGTAGTATTTGAATTAAATCAAGTCTTCATGTGGAAATTCTACAATTGATGTCGTCCGATCCACAAAGTAGTAGGTTACAGCCGGTCCCTCAAATTCATGACCAGCCTTTGCTAACAACTCGTCAGGCCCATCGGGCATAGAGCCCAGGCCGAGTAGCCTGCCTGATGCACTTGAGCATCTAGACGCAGGTCTGTTTGCCTATTTCTACAGCACTTCAGTGGATTGTTGCAGGTTTTCTTGTTAATACTCGATTGCAGTTGCTTATGTACCCTCAAAGAAGCGATACACTGATGCTGGTCAACTGGCCAAAACAATCGCTTCAGACGCTTATGAAAGAGGCATCAGCCCATCTGCACTTGAGCGATTGATCAAAATTTTGACACGAAATAATTACCTTGATCAAGGAACAATTACTACCTTGATAAAGAATCTGTATCCGATAGACAGGATCTCGTCCAAGGTGGTCACGCAGGTCGTCTGTTGCCTCGGTCCCAGCAAGAACAAGCCGAGTCCTGCTACACAGGCTTCCCTGCTGCGATGGCTCATCCTCGTCTACGAATTTTGCGAGGACAGGTCGCATCTCACTAAGCTTTATGCAGTGCTGTTCAATCACCTTGATATGATCAGTCTCCGCAAGCCGTTATGCCATTTGCTTTCAATGATCACGAGGCGGAAGCACGTCAAGCCCTTTAGGATACAGGCTCTCATGGAACTGGTCAATGCTGCCGGCGCGGAAGAAAGAGAACTCATCAGTCTGCTTAACGTCTTCAAGAATTATTATCCAGATATCATCGTAAGTGACCTCGGGGCTTTGAGACGGAGAGGCTTGGTCTTCAAACATCCCGACCCCGAATGGACTAGTCACGCAAGGCTTCTTCAAGACAGAAATCTGGAGAAAGTACAAGCGGCCCAGCCATCAAGCTTTCAAGTAGTTCATCGCGGAGCAGTGAAGAGAGGAAAATTGGAAGTGATCGTTCCTGTTGTCCAGACATCGAGAGTGTCATCCAACCGTACCTCTTTAGAAGAGCTGCGGAGCGTCGACCACTTTGTTGAAAAGCTCGACCGCATTGAGCTTCCAAATCAAATGATATCCGCCATAGCAGACAACATAGCTCAGAAATATCTATTTCTGGTTCAATCCGAGTCTGCGAGGCTCCGGTTAGATGATTGGCTGAAGAGCTTTTTTGACGAACGGTTGGAGCACGCTCGAGACGAAGAACTAGGCACGTCAGAATCTCTAGGTTACATCTTGAGTCTCGTCGTGGATTATGTGCGCTATACAAAGGTATGCCCCTTGGCCCAATGGATGTACATCTGTTGACTCGCAGTTTGTTACAGGACATTCCTGCGTCAGTCCTTTCTTTTCTAAGACAGTATATTTCATCTTGGAACGGCCGTGACAACAAAGAAGAGGTTATCAGTCTTCTTGAGTACCTCCCCATTCAGGAATTTGACACTTTACGAGCCAATCTTCTGACCCCCTTAGAGGCTGCCCTACTGGGCAGCGGACCATTCTCCAAGATAGTCATTCTTGACTTCTACTCTTCACTTATTCGTCAATGGGGTGTGAAGCTGAGGACGTTACCTTCAGTCTCTGCAGAGTCAAAACCATTGGCTCGCCTAATCACGCATGCGGAACTGCTGGCATTGTCAATCCTAGAGAGTCTTTCGGTATTGCAACCGTCCAATAACGACGATATGGAACCCCTCAAACCAGCCGCCTTATCTGTCCTCGAGTTCTACTGCGTTCTAGCCGACCTATTTTCTTATGCGTCCGTTAATGGCAAGATCCGCCTTACTATTCCTCTAGCCCCGACAGTCTACACCCTCGTTTTCACACCGATTCTCTCAAGCATCTCCATCATTAGCTCCGTGCTTGCCAGCTACAAGATGTCCTTCGAAACATCTCTGACTTCCGAAATCCTTCAAGTAGCAAACTCTACAGATTCGCTGTATCCAACTGAATTGGTGGGCCAATTCAACGGCTACGTCATGGACGTCTGCAATCTGATTTGGCGAAATCGAGGGCTCAATGGCGAGGATCCAAACGCACTTGGATGTCTCCTGCCAGCTGCTACCACGGGTGCGCTCACACAATACACCCGGGACTTGAACGAGGCATCCCGAGAAAGGAAGCGCGAGGCTTCGTTTTTCTTCAACCTATCTTCCATTTTCTCTCTCAGTTACCATGTAGCCCTGTGCAACATGTCAGCCGGTTGCTTCGCTGAAATAGAGGAAGAAAACAACATCGCCGAGAGCCAGCCCAGGTTGAGAAAACCCGTGACCCAGAAGGCACTGAGTGCACTTGAGAAAGACGGCGGTGTCAAGTTGACTTGGCAGGAGTACAGGGTGCGTATGCTTGACTGGTTAGACGCCACAGGAAGCCGCGGAATCGGGAACTTGATGCGCAGTACGATGAAAGCTTTGCGTAAGGAATGATGTTGATATCGGCCAATTTTGAAAACTCTTGGAAGCCTGAGTTGAACTTTAGATATTCTATGTTGGATTTTGCTTTGATAATATCCTAAAGCGGTCATTTCCCATCACGGCGGTGCAGATTGACTATTCAGTGTTTGATCTATATATGATACAGTAATCTCCTATTAGGACGGCATCGTCGGTTCTATATCGGTTCTATATCCATAGCTGCGTATTTGTGGGACTCGTTCGCCTGACCAGTCCCGTGTTGATGGTCATCAGAATTGCGTAGACGTGTTCAGATAAATATCCTGAACGCTGGAATCCTCTCGAAGAGTACTCAGAATGTCCTCAATTTCCTTAACTTGCTCTTCATCCTTCACCTCCACCATAGTGTCCTTGGTCGGATCCCAGATTATGTCAAGTTCCTCGATAGCGAGTCCCATCACTTTTGCGAGCGTTTCGCCAACGCTCTTCGTTTCTGTTGGTTCTGTGAAGACCACAAGTCGGCCTTCGTCATCCGTTGCCACATCAATCGCTCCCGCCTCGATGACCTGGTCTAAATAATCGTCCGTATTCACGCCGTCCTTCTTCTCAAACGTGATTCTGCCCTTCTTCTCGAAAAGATATGTCGTCGGAGTAACAGTACCGCCGGCATCCTTGATAGCATATCGGAGGTCTTGTAATACGCGAGCTTTTTGATCGGTCTGGCACTCGATAACCGCCGCAACAGAATGGGGTAAGATGGCTTCAATCGTTACCGACTCCAGGGCCTCACCGGTTACACTTATTCCCTGACCTCTGGCAATAGCTGCTTCAATCACAGTCTTCGGAATACCGGCACGTTTTGCATTGGAGAGGGCAAGAGTTAGTCGGGGGTTGAACTTTGGATCAGCTCCCCACACTGCAAAACGTTAGCATGCGTTGACCGTCGGCAAGCTCGGTGTCGAACACGCACTCTGCGTAGCACTGCTAATTTCCTTTGCAATTGCTTGGCGCTCTTTGCTTTTTGCCTTGTCATTCTTCGCCTTGTCATGCTTGATCTGTGACCATCGATTGTGACCGGCGAACAACGGGGCGCCGCTGGAGAAACTCCGACAGATCTCGCATATCGATTGCCCAGTCCGGCGATGTTGTTGTAATAGAAATCTTTGACTTACTATAGATGCCATTGAGAAACGGACTGTATTTTTTCTGCAGATGCAGAATCATATAAAATTGCCATTCAAGAACCGGCGTAAGTATATATGCGGAGTCGGACCGACATTCTTCCGCTGTCTGATAGGGCCAACTGCCCGATTAAGGGGACCTCGACGCGATCAACTGGGAACATAGCTAGGGCTGATTTAGTCATATACTAATTCTCAACTTTTGTCTTCTTTGGTTGTTATTTGATATATGGTTAATGGCTGATGCCCAGACTGAGCCAGTCGGATTCAATGTCTTCTTCTGAAAACGCAACAACAACTATTCCTTCCGACAATGCGGCCCCTCGTGCGGAGCTGGATATCACCAAGCTCCATGCGCTCCCCTCCGAACAGCAGGACCTCTACCTTCTCACCTTCACTTCGGACTTGGTACAATATATCTCGGACCTAGATTCGGCGAGCGTATCGTCCCAACAGAAGTTCTTAAAAAAGGAACTATTTAAGATCTTGACCCTCTCGTCGCCAACGATCACTCGTGTCATCCGCAATAACCTAGGTCGATCTTTTGGCGCTATACTTGGCAAAGGGGATCGGGGGATACTCTTTGAAACAGTAACCGATCTACTTGGTATACTGAATGCAGGCAAAAATGAGGCAGAGCTCAAGACGAAGTTCGCCGCGGCTCACTGTTTGGGGGAGGTCTTCGCGGTCGCTGGAGAGAGTGTATTTGCGCAATCGGGAATCGTGGTATCGGGCTTGCTCAAACTGCTGAAGCCTTCGAGCAACCATACAGGACTTCGGGGATCGACTTTTGCGATCTTGCGCAAGGTTGTCGTGGGTGCAGGAGTTCCCGTTGACGAAGCAACAGCGCGAGATATTTGGAAGCAGGCTCGCAATGCCGCAACTAGTGACAAGTCCACGTTTGTCCAGGTCCACGCATGCCGCTGTCTTGAGCAGTTAGTGAGGACAACACCTTTCTTCGATAATGCTAATGACTTTGATCATCTGAGGACTGTGATCTGGAAAGTCATCGACAGCAATGTTGCGCCTGTTAGACACGCTGCTGCGGCTTGTCTGGCGCAAGCCTTGGTGAAATTGCACGCCGCAGATGCACGAGTTACAACCATTCCCAAGCCCAAGAAGATGAAGAGACAGTCCAAAAAACCCGCGCCTAGACCCGGAGAGGACGAAGACGAGGCTGAGGTTTCCGAGTCCTCGGTCTCAAGAAAGGCAGAGCCCGGTTTATACTTCCTCCTGCCGGATCTTCTTCGCCAACTTTCCACTCAGTATATGAAAAGCACAACGTCCAATCGCGCACGAGCCGGTATTGCTGTATGTTACAAATATGTTCTGCGCAGCCTAGGCGACAAGTTTGTCGAAGAGCGCTACGGGCAGATTGCGAATCATCTCCTGTTTGAACTCCTGAACCATCCAACCGTTACATATAATCGGTTCCGGCTCCTGATGACACGGAGATTTGTTAAGGGTATTCTGGAGGAGACAGTTGGACGGGAAACTCTGCGCGAGAATAGCCAGCTCAACGCTGCGAAGTGGTTAATCAACGAAATTCTTAAGGACTATCCTCAGGTCCTTCAGGAACGCCGCGAACCCAGCAAATACACACTTGCTAGCGCTCTCAGTGCATTGTCTTCTTTGATATTGTCCCTGGGTTCTGCGTTCGGCTCTCTGGCGGAAGCTTGTCGCGAGGCATTGCTCCAAGTCCTGCCTCATCCCAGCTACACCGTTCAAATCCACGCCGCACACTGCTTGAGGAACTTTGTTCTTGCTTGTCCACCTCAGCTCATATCTTGTGTGACTATCTGCTTGAACAGTCTGAGCAGAGAAATTGGGCAGCTTTCTACGCCCCGGCAGGCACCGCGGCGCTGTGTTGGATACGCCAACGGACTGTCGGCTATGCTGAGTACTTCCCGGCTGCAGCCACTCTACGGCTCTGTTGATGTCTTCTCCCGTGTTTTCACTCAGGCGACCGATCTACTGAAGACGAGCGGCAAATCAGAGCTTCGGGCAGCGAGTACACAGGTTCAGGTGGCTTGGATTTTGATCGGAGGTCTGATGCCCCTTGGACCAAGTTTCGTGAAAATTCATCTGTCCCAGTTGATGCTACTTTGGAAAAATGCGCTACCCAAGCATCTTGGCAAGGAAAACTTTGCTCAGCGTGGGTATCTGGAGATGAGTTTCCTTGCACATGTACGGGAATGTGCTTTGGGCTCCTTGTTGGTATTCATGGAGTTCAACAGCAAATTGATCACAGCGGATGGTGCGAGAAGAATTGCTTCTATGCTCCAGAATACGATAGAATTTCTCGATGATCTTCCGCGACAGAAGTCTGTCGCAGATCTTTCGCAGCGCCTCCAACCTTCATTGCAATTGCATGACCTGGCCACAATGGTCCGGCGTCGAGTTCTGCAGTGCTTCTCTAAGCTAATTGATGTCCACCCTCTCAGCCACGCGGATGTCATCTCCCAGACTACTCTATTGAGTCTTTCCATCTCTTCCTTCGCCGACCCGGAATACACCCAACCTGCTCCGCTAGAGAGTTCGATAGCAGCCGCAACCGCCCAGTTTGAGACTCTTTGGGATCTCTGCGACAATTTTGGCTTTGGTGTCACAGGACTAGCCAGACAATATATCCGAGCAACCCTTTCAGGCAAACAGGAGGACGACAATGGTCCTGCTTGGTCAGCTGTCGATTCAGCAGACCAAGATATCGACGACGCCGTGAGTGATTCGTCCACCAGTAGACAGGCGCATTCGGACTAACAATAGCAGTTGACTTTCCCTATCTGTCAAGCTAGCGAGCATGATTCTCTTCTTTTATACTCTTCGAGAAGTGAAAGAGACAGTGTTTTGGCGGACCCGCATGCTACCGGGGTCATCAATGCTGCGATTGAACTGTTCGCTGTTGCTATTCGCTTATACGCCCCTAAGGTACAAGAAAGTACTATGGAACAGATCGCAACGTTCCTCTCATCTCAGAGCCTTCAGCGCAATCCTGGCCGCAAGGCTGCGATGATCGTTAATATTGCGGTGGCATTACTTCATGCGCTGAAGGTCACTGCCAAAGACAGTGGCTCAGCATCCGGCAGGCTCAATCCTGTTACTGAGAAAGTACTGCAGGAACTTCTGCAGGTGAGAGATGCTGAGGGCCTCCGTCCACCTATTCTCTAGCTGACAAACACAGAAATTCGTCATTGACGCAGATCCAATTGTCCGAACAATTGGTGCTGAAGCACTTGGCCGACTCTGTGACAGTGCTGGAAACACACTTATGACTGCACAGGTCACTTGGTTGGTCGATACAATTGTCGATAACAGGGAGCCTAATGCACGCGCAGGTTGTGCTGCAGCCTTGGGATGCATCCACGCACAGGTAGGTGGTATGGCAGCTGGTCTGCACCTGAAGACGATTGTTGGCGTCTTAATGTCACTTTGCAATGATCCCCACCCTGTCGTCCATTTCTGGGCGCTTGGGGGTCTGGAAAGAGTTGCCAATTCCGCAGGCTTGACCTTTTCACCGTTTGTTTCCAGCGCGCTCGGGATGCTTGCTCAGCTATACAACGCCGATACACACAATGAAGAAGCCGCAAGCTTGGCAACATCCAACATCGAAATGACCTTCCTCACCCCGGTCGTAATAAGCCGTTGCGTCGATTCACTGATCAATGTCCTTGGCCCTGATCTTCAAGACATTACAAAGACACGAAACCTGATTCTGACGCTTCTGCGGCAATTCCAACTGGAGGACAATCCGGCTCTGGTGACCGAGAGCTCCAAGTGCTTAGATCACCTGTCACTGTACGCACCGGGATTTGTGGACTTTTCAGGGTTTGTGAAGCGTCTCCAAAATGAGTT